CCAGAGCCCGGGGTGGTATATGCAATCAGTTGAACTACAGAAGTCGACTTTTCAACAATTCCTGGAGTTATTGAACGTGACCTCTCTCGAAGAGGCACGCCAACTTCCATCAAATCAGCTGATTACTGCTAATGCCTACCAGATAGCTACTACATCTGTTTATGGGACATATACTTATGGGCCGGTTATTGATAACAGCTTCATAACAGATCTTCCAAGCAGGATTCTACTGGATCCAGATTTCAAATGGAAGAACATCCGCGTGATGACAAGCCACACAATCAATGAGGGGCTGACTTTTACCCCACCAGTCGGCGTGAACAGTTCTGCCTTCCAATCCCTCATCAAGACATATATTCCAGATCTAGCGCCCGAAACCGTGGATCGCATCGCTCAATATTGGTATCCTCCCGTCTACAACGCTTCATCCTCATCCTCGGAGAAATTGGGATATAACAGTCCGCTAGAGCGGACATCAACTTTCATGAGCGATGCATTCTTTCAATGCAAGAACCTCTACCTCGATAATGTATTCGATACTTCATACGCGTCGGTATTCAGCGTGCCACCGGGCGTGCACGCCCAAGATGTGGCATTCAACTTCTGGGACCATTCCCAACCAGATACAGAACTAGGTCCATTCAGCGAAAGTCTGGCGCTGACAATGCAGGATTATATCATTACGTTTGTGAATCAAGGCTTTCCCACTTCGGCCGAGAACAATGCCACGGAGTGGGAGGCATACTCGAAAGATGGGCGCGTGATGAATCTAGGACTGCAAGATATTGCGATCACCTCCGATCCTGTGAACACGGACCGGTGTCGATTCTGGTGGAACATTACTGGATGAAGAGCCTGTATACCTTTTCCACACTATGGTCCCATTTCAATTTTCCCACTGGTTAGTCTGGGCCCTGCAGATTCAATACGGTTATTAAGTGCTTATAATTGAATTGGATATCGAATGCAACGATAATCTGCTACTCTGCCAATGATCAACACGGCCTTGAGCCGCATTTGAACCTCTCAAAATTCAGGCCCCGGAGACCATTGAGTTGTTCGGTAAATAGTCTAATTGCAGTGAGACATGGGCAGAATTCTCAGACCATAAATGACAGCAATAAATGCTAGTAAAAATAGCAGCAATTTCTCCGCTAGCGCTGCCGCTAGAATGCTTGGTCGGAGCAAATGCCACCACGACTCGAAGAGCTTGACTTGATATGTGCCAGTCGCCAGGCCCACTACACACTCTCTAATTGAGGCACAGCAACGGTGATTACTGTAGATAGCGACACCGTACGGAAGGTGAAGCCGAAGAAGAAGAAAAAAAAGTGTATGCTTGATGCCTAGTACCTACTTAGTACTCCGAAGTTCCTCAACTATGCCGAGACGACCAATTGCGATCGGAGATAGGAACGGCTGCCTAACCTACTAAGTAGTAAGGCGGTCTCCGCGGAGTCCGTCGGTAGGCACTAACTACTAAGGCAGATTCGCGATTATTCAGAAAAGTGTCGTCGGGCATAGTTAAGAGAAGAGAACCAGAACACATCGGGGGATCTTCGGGGGCGCATTCGGCAAGACAAAGGGGCGGAGAAAGAGAGGAGTCATGTCCGAAGGGTATTATTCTATCCTATCCAAATTGTAAATCTGTTCAGCTGATCGGCAGGAAAGAAATTTCTTCCATTGTTCCAATGTTTGTGCTGCATCTCCACGGTCGGAACAACCCGTCGTGGAAAGCGAGTGCCATTGGTAAAGTGTCAGGGGTAGTAGTAGTTAGTAATAAAAGGTAAAAAAAGAGTACTAATTTGCCCAGGGGCAGAGCGGGCAAGCCGTGTCTTAGTTGTTGTCTGCCAGCCAGCCAGCCAGCCAGCTAGTTCGATAACCTCGTTGCTAAGCTTCCCATGGGTAGGACTGCATTGGCTGGTCGGTTTATGCCTCAATGGCCCGTGGGGGCCAGTGAGGCTTTTGCAATTGGGTAGATTTGTCCTGTCGGCGAGTAGAAGTTGAAAGTTGAGGGGTTCATCGCGTGCAAAGTGGACCCTAACGGACTGGGACTGGGACTGTCTCACGCTAAATCCAAGACAGTTGGGCCAGGAATAGATGGATGGCCACTGGAAAGTGGCAGAGTTGAGTTTTGTAGTATCTAGATATCCGCTAGACTACTTTGTCGATAGACAGAGCATGTGCTAATAGTCTTAATAAGCTAACCAATTGGGGCGGAGGGCGGTGTTTTTGAGCGCCGTCGTTCCATGATCCGAGTGTGCTTTGATGTGAGGATGAAGATCGGTCGCTTTTCTGGAATAAGACGGATCGCTGCATTTTGCATCAGCGTGGCTGACGGGGGTTAGTTAGATGGTTATATTCTGGGGGCGGTTTGATGTTTTGGCGTTTTTACAGTAAGAGAAGGAATGAAAGGAATGAAAGAAGGTGAAGGAAGCGAAGGCGACTGGAGGGAGTGCCTGGCCCCCAAAAAGGGCAACCCTTGAAACCAACGGGACTGCGACGAGGCTGTGTTGGACGGCGTCGCTTCCGTCGCGAGGAAAGAACGATCCGCGCGATCAATCAGAACAGGCGGAGCAGCCCATCATCTGCCATTTTGCCTGCATTTCCCTCGGTGAATCAGGGTCGCTCAGCCTTAGCTTAGCTTCATCCTCTTTCTTTGGACCAAGTTGCACTGACCCAATCACTTTTCGGCCCCTCCGTTAGCGCTGAATGTTGTCATTGTGGACTGATTTGATGCGCTTTTATATGCTTCGCCCGGTCGCTCTTCGTTCTGCATTAGTTCCTCAGTCTCTCCTTACTTGCTTTTGCCAATAACAAAGGAAAAGTACTTCTATAAGCTTTCTCCCGCGCGTCTCCGTCATTCTTTACCACTGTTCAGTTCATCCCTGACAGCCTGTCATTCTTTCAACATCCATCCCCCATCTACACTACACCACATCCACACCACCATGTTGTTTCGCCTTCTGTCCGCAACTGGTGCCTTGTGCATCACTACTGCAGCGGCCGCGGCTCTACCTGCACCTCAGCTGCATTCTACCGCTGGTTCTCATCAAATCAACCTTCCTGCTATCCCCTGCGCTTTCTCCGACTCGACTTGCACTGAATCCTTCGACTCTGGTTCACAACTGGTATGGACTCACGTATCAATGAAGTCGACCTTCATCCCATACTAATCATCTTGGATAGACCATCGATTTCTCCACCCAAAATGGCACCCTTCGAGCCAACCAACAACCCATCTTCCCCGCTACCGTCCCGATGCAGTTCACAGCAGATCGCAAGTGGGAGTCATTCGTTCAGCCAGTCCAGCTCTCCTACTCATTGGATGTACGACCACTGCCTGCTCGTCCCGGCGCTGGGCTGGGCGATATCTACTACCTCAAGCTCCGCCTCTTCGACCAGCACGGTCAAGCTGCCACGCAGAACACCATTGCCATCAGTCTAATCAGAGACGCCCAGGGTGGTCTGCAACTGGCGATGATCGACCCGAACGGTAGCCGCGATTACGGTCACGGAAATCGTGTATGGCAAATGAAGGCCTGGAAGGAACAGCTCGAAACATACTACAACCATGCAAAGGAGGCCGTCAAGAACTGCGTCAAGCCGGAGCACCCGAAGCACGAACACGAGCATGAGCATGAGCATGAACACGCCCACGAGCACCCTCACAAGATGGCCGGATCTTCAGATGCCCACCCCCACCGCCGCCCTTCTTCCAACAAGTACTACCCCTCCAGCCAGAGCGGCCACTTTTTCTGGACCGGACGTGAACAGAGCATCATGAAGATCGCCCGTCCGGTCATCCTCCCCGCCCTGATGGGTATCATGGCCGGTGGAGTGGCCTGCATTGTTGGGTTCCTGCTAGGCCGTCTTATCATCTCCATCTACCTGTGCGCCGCTAGCCGCCGGCAGCAGCAGCAGAACATTCCCATCATTAACATCGAAGATGGCGAGCCGATCTCCGAGAAGGAAGCCCTTCTTGAACCCTACAGCGATCAGGAACCTGAGTCGCGCCAATCATTCCCATGATCTTTCATTCTTTCTTTCCTTCATCACTATATACCTCACGTCCACCTGTACATTACAGCCCTTTCCTTCCGTCTCTGTTTCCACGTTCATGATATCCAATGCAGCATAGCATACATACCCTTTGTGATTTTGTCCATATGAATATTACTAGCTAGATGAATTCATGTGTCCGCCTGAAATATAAACCCCTTTCCTATAACTGGTATTCAACAAGGCCGGCTGGCCCAATGGTAAGGCGCTTGACTACGGATCAAGAGATTGCAGGTTCGAGTCCTGCGTCGGTCATCTTTTTGAATTTTTGCTGTGTAGAAAAATCTCTGCTTTGGATTGTGTGGGTGGTGGGTATTGAGCGGATATCGACCGACCCAAACTCTGCTGCTACTAGTCTACTTGCTGCGGCGGCGGAGTTTAGACCCACCATGTCTTGGCATTTGCTTTTTGCTGATGTGAGAGAAGGGGCAGAGGATGCGAAGCTCATACCCGGCTGCATTTGCAGTGCCTTGCATTGTCAGGGGTCATCATTTGGGTATTCCTTTAAGCCTTGCCAGGGGGATTTGTTTGGGGCCGTTAGGGTGTTGGTGTGCTGGTCGTTCGTGTAGGGTGGGGTGGTTAGGAGGTGAAATATATTTCTGTACAACTACGAAAGTAGTGATAAGTGCATGACCATCGTTGTGTGTAGTAGACACGGGCAATTGGAATGATAAATTGTCTAACGTTGTTTACTAGGGTAAATTTAACTGCTTGAATAATGTTTAAGCTAATCTAATGAATACATGTTACAGAGAAAGTCCTTCATGGTATCTTTAGAATTTGAAGTCTACTTATCAGTACATAGAAACCTATGCACGAAATTCGATCCAGCTACTCTAAACTAAACAGTACTCGCAACGGAAAACACAAGTCAAGCAACACCCTCACCATAAAACAACATCCAAATCCACATCCCACACCACCTGTATCCCAACCTCTCACCAAACCAAAGAAGAAGCCCCAACAACCCCAGCACCCAGAACAATAATCCCTATCCCTCCCACAGGCGTTGAAAGAGCCCTACTATGCCCAGCAGAAACCCTCACAGTCTCGGAAACATCCCAGTCCCAGATCACTGTGAGGTTCTCATCTGGTGTCTCCCAGTCGTAGGCCACGGTGGTGTTGGCCATTTTAGTGTCGCTGCGGTCTGCTAAGCAGGGTGTGGTGAGGAGAGTGAAGATGAGGAGACATAAGAGGATGAGTCTGATTATTGAGGAGGATGTTGTTATTGTTCGATTGGGATGGAGGAGTTTGGGGAGGAGGTTGGGATGGAAGTTAGGCATTTTGGAAATGAAATGGTGTAGGTATAATGTCACAGATGTTGATGGGAGGTACTTAGTTATTGGGATATCTGGAGGAAGGTATTTGGGTTTTGAGAATTTTCATGTTGAGGGTAGAGGGTACTTAGAGTGTCGACTGATCATGGCTGCATCAGAATCAGATGTGGTTGGGCGTCATTGTGAGGTTTCTTATTTCTGGGGTGATATTAGCTCATGAAACCATGCTGATGTAGATAACCATCTCAACCAAAATTCTGTGGGTTAGTAAAGATTCTATATGCTTTCCTTGGTGATGTTGATATAGATGAAAAAGCTAACCGTCTTAGCGGAGACTCCACACCTTCCAATACAGAAGAGAAGTCGACGCGATCTCGTTTCACGTGCAGCTGGATCATGAATGCATGATGCCATGAGATTGCCCACAGGCCTGAGAAATTAGGCCTCAAGGGACACTGGCAGACTTCCTAGATTATCATCTTCCTCACCGAGCATCGCAAAAGCCTTACACATCTCGGTCAGACAGTATCGTCACAGCGCGTGATACTCTGGCAACAGCTGAGTCGATCATACTGAGAGAAACCAAAAAAGTATTCTACTCAGTTGATTATGAGCAGTATTTGCTGCTGTCTGCTCTAAGAGAGAATGTTATCAAAGACACTGCAACCTCAGAAGTAACAACAACAGTGCCCTGGATCAAAGTAAATCAAAGACAAATTGCTCAAAAACCGACCACTATTATCCCCAGGACATTCCAGTCTGTCGGGGCTGTGGAGAAGTCCAGGCATAAGCATATGCTAAGCAGCCACTATCCTTATAGCCCTGTAAGCTCGTTCCCCATTCTGCAGTTACCTTCAGCTATGAGGTAGTGCAACAATGAAAAAGCTTCCTTCTCAGCCACTGACTGATTGACATGACCTATTGCAGTTAACAACACCACCCCTTGCTGGCGCATAATTGCGATGCCACGTCCGCCGGATCTGATGTCACCGCAGATCTGCGACCAATGATCCTCCGCAGCTTCATTATCGGGACGGCACAACGGTCCCTTTGACATCATCGCGGAAACACACATCCACTCGCATAGTTGATGTCGCCCAGAATATCGTCATCCTTCTACCATGGGTCCAATCTATTCTCTCATTCCTGGGGTAAACATTAACCACGTGGGCATTATAGGATTCCTCCAACCATCAACGAGACATTTCATGCTACAGCAGCCTATGATCATCGACTAATTAATTGAGCTTTCTTCACCGTCTCACATCTATCGCCACTTACGTATGCTCTCAGCCCTCAGTACTGCGTAGAAAAACGAAAGCTATATACGGCACAACTACCACCATCCCGACCGTCTACAATCTCATCTCCAATATCCACTAACGCAGACACTCGCCTCAATCGCTCCACTATACTCTATTACCAAGCTACAGGATCACCAACATGCCTCTCTTCCACTCCTCCTCCCACTCCAGCTCCGACCGGAGCAGTATCGACGATCCCAACACTACATCTTCCCACTCTCACCGTCGCTCCCGCCGCTCCTCCGGCTCCCCCTCCCACTACTCATCGTCCTCCACTTCTCCTTCCTCCTCCCGCCACCACAACCACTCCCTGTTCGGCCATAGCCGAAAAAACGAAGACCCTTCCATTCTTGCTGCCAAAGAGCAGGTTTCTCGCGCAGAAGCGGCTGAGAGGGAGGCTGATAGGGCACTGATGGCTTCGAAACGGGCCGTACGTGAGGCTAGGGAACATGTGAGAAGGTTGGACGAGGAAGCAAAGATGGAGTAAGTTGCTTCCTTACTCATTGTTCTTTTCCAGACATGCTAATACTGGATGGTAGAGCACGCGCTGCGAAGATGAAGCAGGATCAGGTGAAGTCAATTACGAAGCGGGCGAAGCCGTTGGGAAGTATGTGGTTCACTCGTCTTATACTTGTGTATGTGATGGCACTGACTGAAGGTTCTAGGACATGTGTGAGGTCGCTTGCTGATAGTCGATGCGAATTTTTGTTGACAGTGGAGGGTATGGCAGACTGAGTCTATGACCTTATAATTCTCAGCATGTAATTCTATTGTAAGGTTCATTTATAATTCGGTTCGGGTATCGCTCCGTGGGATTCTTTGCAGGATACGAGTCATGAGTTATGATTGATACGTTTCTTATGTTTGTATTATACTTGTGATCTTAGTTGAGTACCAAATTGCATATTATGACGAAACAAACTGTATCTGCTACTTAGATATTGACTGTTTGCGTCTTGAGGGTTGAGCTCGCTTGGACCGGCTCTGGTTAATAGCCAAAATATCAAGTATACAATGCATATGATAAAGGAGAGCCACAGGCGTATAACCATAAGGGTCTGTAAAGGGGTATATCTCTTCCTAGTGTAGGTCAGGTGATAGAAGGCGTGCCTTCTAGCTACTGCTTCCAAGACTCATTCCCTTTCCTGGTCTTCCCGCAGGAAAGCCATCAGAACTAACCCCAGGAATCTTGTCTTGATCGATCACGATCAACGACTACATCCATACCGAGATACATCAACGAAAGGTATATATGTGACTTCTATGATATTCCTCCACTTGAAGCATCAACGAAGGGACGCTATCAGCCAAATGACTATGTATCTCCACCCCACAGTAGGTCTAGATCAAGATATCCGGGATACCAAGAGCCATTTCCCTTCACAGTGAAGCCACTCTATCCTCCTTAATAATATCAGCAGCCTTTTCCGCCACAGCATATACTGTCGTCTGGATGTTCCCGCGAGGGATCAACGGAATCACACTGGCGTCGACCACGCGCAGATTCCTACAGCCATACACCCTCAACCGATCATCAACCACACCCCCAATCTCTCGCGGCATCATAGCTGTCGTTCCTGAAACATGATAATGACATATTAAGCGGTCCCGCGTGAGCTCACGCGCTGTTTCCAAGCTCGTCACACGCGTTGGATAGTGCAGTCGACGGCCATTCGGCTTCAGCAGCGATGCCATTGGCTCCGTGGCTGCCAGCGTCTCAAGCCACATTACATGACGTGCTTGGATCTCCAGATCCAGTGGATGAGATAGCATACGAGGGTCGAAAGTCGGCAGCACTGTCGGGTCCGACGAAGCCAAGTGTACTGAGCCTCGGGAAAATGGCCGGTTCAAGACTGCCACTATACTAATGTAGTTTCCTGGCTCTGACATGCTAAAAGTACCTCTAGGATCGGAGCCTTTGTCAGGCGTCATTTGGAATGGTGCTAGCGTGTACTGACACGTTGGCTCGTCGTCATCTTCGAGAAATCGGCGGAGAATACGGTACTGCGCGGCCTGTCTGGGTGAACCGTCCTCTTTCAGGTGCTTTTCTATGAGGTCGGATATCTCACCATTCTCCTGTTCCGGGAGAGTCATGAAAGCAGAACCTAGTGGATGCGAGCCTAACGGTCCAGCTCCCGAAGATTGCCATGCTTCCATGGCGGCTTTGGCTACATCAGGATCCCGTAAAGCTTCACCGGTTATCTGACCGTCGGCAACCTCCCAGGTAAATGGGACGAGGCCATGTTCTTGCAGGTTCTCGCCTACATTGGGATTGTCGATGATGATGTCGATACCATGTTTTTGCAGAAGCTTTGCATCACCGATGCCTGAGAGCTCTAGCAGATGCGGTGTCTTGATTGTGCCAGCCGCTAGGATGACCTCTGCTCTCGCGGCCACCGTGCGTTGAATTCCATCGTTTCCTCTGAACAGGATGCCGGTCGCGATAGCTTGGCCGTCCTCGACACAGGCTGTCTTGTTGAGCAGAATCTTCTCCACAAATGCTTCGGTGATGACTCGGAGATTCGAGCGTTGCGCTATTTCGGGAGTATAATAGGCGACGCCCGCATGACTACGAGCCCGTGAGGTCCCGTGGATAGTAGCCGGATTGCAAAAGGCACCCTTGGCCAGACCAGACATTGGGTCCCCTGTCAGTCGATGATTCAATGCCTCAAATATCCGGGGCCAGGCGGCCGTGAATGCCGGGAAAGGCCCATCACCGAATGAAATCTGTATGGGCCCATCGGTCCCTTGAACATCCGGATCGATATAGCCAAGCGATAACTGGTCACGAATCTCATCCGACGGCGGGATGAATGTCTGCGATTTTCGCATGTAGGTGGACAGAGACTTCCAGTTCCAGCCTGAGTTTCCCAGCTGCTCCCATGAGTCGATATCGCTACGACTAGGGTAGATTGCCATGCCCATGTTGATAGCCGAGGAACCTCCCAGTGTTCGACCGCGGGACTGAGCAAGGCGTCGGCCATTAAGACCCTCCTATTCCACATTAATGTGAGGGACCATGTATTGCAAGGGTTTGCATGCCTACCTGAGGTTCGCTGATAAGACTCCAATCAAATTCAGGGTCAAACCAGGTACTGGCCGAGAGGCCTGGGGCTGCGATACGCGGATCGTCGACACGATCGCTTCCAGCTTCCAACACCAGAACGCTGACTGCGGGGTCTTCTGTCAATCGGCTGGCCACCACCAATCCGGAAGTTCCCCCTCCAACAACGACATAGTCGTACACTGGCTGGATGTCGGACAAAGATGAGGTTTCTCTTTTCATCATGATGGACTTGTATGAGTTGTCATGAGGTGAGAGCAGGAGAGCCGGTTAGTAGCACCCATTTATATTTTGATCCATTTGAATCAATCGACGCTCGAGTCAGTCGAGAGTAAGCAATGTGGGGTCATGGCTCGTATTGATACGAGAAACTGACTGACTTGTCAGATGTGGCTATCTGCCCCGAGGTTATAGGATATTGTCGCCCGATAGCCCAAGGAAATCCCGGCTTATGCAGCGGTGGCGCTTATTGTCATCAATGCTGCACCGAGCAAGCATCGCCGATCATTTGTTGCAACATTGGCCCACCCCTCCAATTTCACTCTAATTTATGAGCTAGCAAAGCAAGCAACATGGCATGCTGCGAATAGGTAACAAAGCCCTCTGATTGCCACGGAGATCTCCTATCGCAAATTGTGCGACTTTCCCGGCGGTCCCGAATTTGAAGCACAATGCAGAATGAGCTGCAATGCAAAACTTGAAGATGAAGGTTGTTCAACAAGTCTAGTTTAGATGCTGCTAGCATTTCCAGTCCAGGCACCACCAGGCCGAAGCAAGGGTCCAGGCAGCGGCGAGGCAGCAACGACGCAAGAAATGCAGGCTCCAACCCACAATTGGCCAAGAGCTCCAGCGATGATGCTTTCCTCGAGCTATAAGTAACTGAAATCATGCGTAGGAACTATCCTCACACGCTTCTTAAGATTATGATCAGACCAGTTTACTTTGCCAATCTTCATTCGATATTCACGCCTGTGATCACCACATCAGCCTTTTGCGCCCTTACAAAGAAGCCCACCATGACAGGAATTTCCAACGCCCAGGAAGCCCAGCTACATGAAGTCGCACAATTGATGCTGGAGATTTACCAGACTCTTGCACAGATGCGGTACCTTGATCCTAAGGCGATTCAAACTGGGCCCCACGACATCTCCAAAATGCGCCTGGTGTACGAGAAACATGGGCTGGACCCGGCTATCATCTACCTCTATAGCATCCTCCCCTATGTGGACTCACAAATTACGAACACGGACTTTTTTGATGGCGGTTCTTTCATTGACTTTCGTGACGAGTCCTGCGTTGAAGACAGCCGTGATCCGTTATGCCACGGGACCACGGAAGAGGATTTTGAGGACGGAGACGGGCCATACATGCGTCCCTGGATGACGGCATTATCACAGATGGGAAACCACACAAGTGTTATTATATATGATGCACGGAAGCACCGCATCTGGATCCCTGATCCTGTGGACGATTGCAGCTGCGACCCGGCGCTATACGGTGTGCCGAATGAAGCGCCCGAGAGCGAGAACGGGAATAACTTTGAGCACATTCCAAGCCGACCTGCGGGAGATGTATTGCGGGATATCGCCCGATGGTATCGCGAACTCGAGGTACTACCAGGTAGAGGCCAAGATTGCGGCATTGAGTGGGAAGCTGGAAGACTGGATGTGAAAGGGCTGTATCGGATGCACGGATGGCCGGACAACTTCAATGGCGATGCATTCCAGGTGGATCAACTAAGGGCTTCAGGTCTTGCCAGTGTCCGAAAGGACACAAACCAGATATTACCACAATTAAAAAGGTGTATGATCTCAGTGACTGAGAACAGAAGCAGAATCACAAGGTTGCGAAAGTCACTTGCTGCAGCGAAGAACAAAGACGAAATGTGGGTGCTCCGGATGGAGCTTTGGAAGGCAGCGAGGTCTATTTGCAGAAAGAACAAAGATCTCCGGGAGGAGGAGCGCAAAATTCTCGCCCTGGAATATTCTCAGGTCAACAGAAAGCTTGAGTCGGAGCGAGACAGTGTGATAAGAAGTAGGAAATGGTTGGAAGAAGAATCCAAGGACGCCGATGCCGATACTGTTAAGAGAGTACAAAAGCACCTTTACCGAGATGAGCAGAGCGCAGCACTCTACGAAAAGGTCAAAGAGGCGATCGAGGCAGACAAAGTCCAATTTGGCAGCTTGGGCAACAAAACAGGGTTCGCCAAGGAGAAAGAGGCCTCTTTATGGAAAGACGTGGCCCTGCATTTTCAAGGGGAGCTCGATGCGCTACGGAAGTGGGCTGCTCAAATTCCCGCTGATGCCGAGCACGCCAAACAGAAGGCTCACGAGCAAATCCAAGACTATGAAGAGTCGGTCGCGGCAGAGGAAGCTACTACATGGCTGACCAAGCCGAGGTTATTTGAAGCTTCTCGGCGTTGAAATACTACCTTTGGGCATATTTCAACGCTTTGCAAGGGGAACCATGTCTCTCATCTGCTTTATACTGGTTATTTGCAGAGCTCTTCCTCTAGATCTAAATAGCATATTCCCCAACCGGATACCTCCGTTGATTCTATATCTGCTTCTTATCAGCGCCAGCGCTGCCCATCAACACATACATTGTTCGTCACAGCATATATCATAGAACGGTTGTCGTCACGCACCGTACTGCGCTGAACCATACCACGACCACATACAACTGCAAATACTCCTCTTCATACCCAACTAGTACCCTTACAACTCCTTGATTTTGATTATACTAGTAAGATGACTATTGCATAGCTTGACGTGCTCGACAGACAAAAGCCATTCAGCTAATACATCATCATAGAGATGAATGAAAGTTATGCTATACTATTCCACAACTATCAAGTGATATATTTCTGGGTCAATGGACTCTTAGGTGTGTCATTGACATCGGATATAAAGTTAAACAGGGATCTAGATGTGCTGTTCTCGGAGGAGGTAATATCTTAGTTGTCATGGTTTCGGTTTGTTTGGAAGATGGGAGGGACAGAGTACCTTGACTGGTTTCCGTAGAGATGGATGGTGAGCTGTGTACGGGGTGGTCTGAGAGGGAGGATCGGTTCGAACCAACGGTCGGTAGTATGTTTTATTGGTTGTTCAGAGTTGCTTATTGGAGTGGGGTACAAGGGGCATGGGGTGTAAGCTTTTGAGAATCGTTAGTGGAGGACATATTATTAGTTCAACTGACATATAGTAGCAATTTAATTGTTCGATGGCACTATCATTAGCTCTTATATTGTCTCAGTTCTAGTCTAGTCTAGTTACTCAATGGCTCAGCCACTTTAGCCAACTAGTCCAGTCATGATACAAAAGAAAGCAATCACATCTGAATCCAGCACAGATGAAGCAGGCGTAGATATTGCAGTGGGCTAGATCAAAACAGATTTGAAGTGGTAAGCCCCTTTTGAGTCACTGGAGCTGGCAATTTCTCTCCTCGCCATTCTGGTAATCTTTGCCATCTTCGCTCTCCTTGTTGTTCATTTCATCGACCTTGTCATCCTCGGCCTCGTCCACATCTCCATGCTGCTCATGGTTATCCTGGAAGGTCTCGTCATCCACCAATTCATAACCACCGGCATCGTCCTCATCACTATCGTAGTACTCATCTTCCATCGTTCCAGCAATGTACCCCGAAGACGGGAGTATATGGTCAGCACTCTTCTTCGTATTCGCGTTTGCAAAGAAAGGATGATCAACACGAAGAGGCCTCCGCTGGCATATGTAGCCCATTGGAGTATGAGAGATATCCTGGCCTTGCCGACGAAGGGCTAGCCATTCTTGCACGAAGCTCATCTGGTTTGACAGCCCTCGTGACGCGGGGTTACTGGCATCTAACCACTCAGGGCCTAGCTGTAGATGTTCCGTTATTACTTCGTACTCGGTGTACCCGAAATACAACCGCCCAGCCAGAATCCCCAGTTCGAAAGATAACCATGCTGGCAGAGAATGTGGTGAAGATAGAGGTGGGATTGTATAGTAGTCTAGATTGTCGAAGTGCAGCATGCGCCTCGTCACCGGTGCTGCGTATGTGATGAGGTGTGTAGACGGAGCAGCACAGGTACGGAGAATGGGGATCAATGCCTCCGCCTCTTCGGGAATGATGACGATCGCTGTCTCATTCTTTGTGTTGTAAAGTAGCCAGTTTACGGGACGCTGTAGATTATGTCAGTTAAGCATCATAATCACACGTAGATGTCAAATGCAATGTGCTTACCGTGAACTCATCGCCTATCTTATGTTTTGATTTGACGGTCCTTGTAAACTCCTGAGACACGAGTAGATGAGGCACTAGATTGCTGTCCTTCATCTCGAACTTCAATGAGACTTGAGACTCGTGAAGCACACTTGCCGCAGTAAGGGTTCCAGGTTCTTGCAGCTGACCAGTCATCGCAAATTGTGACAACGTAGGGTGTAGCCCAGGAAATCCGTAAGCCTGCAGTCGCTGTGGGCGTTGCACTTCTCTCTCCTCCTCAATCTCGTAAGCGACCTCTCGTTCTTGCTCAACCTCTTCTAAAGCGGAACTTGTGATTGCGCTCTGCATGAGATCAGATTGATTCCGTCTATGATGGAGCTGTTCCAAGTACACAGCCACCTTTCCGGTTACCGGTGGTGAAGTAGCCATCGATCTCTTTCCTTTGTCACCAAGCCCACAAATACGTGGCTTATACAGCTCCTCCAAGGTCTGCTGCTCAGGCTGCTGTAGAACCGTCATGTATTTGTCACGATGCTCCGTGTTTTCAAGGAATTTGGGGAATTCGAGTGCAGCTTGCATGCGGCGGCAAAAATCAACACCCTGGGCGTGGAACAGTGGCTCCAACTCAGCGTTACTTGCGCATGTCTGATGAAGAAGCCAATATACCACATGAGAAGAATCTATTATATCATTACGGCTCTTCTGGTTGACATCCAAGATACTCTGGTGGACCTCCGGAGGCGCGACAAATATAATAGATTGCGTCGTACCAAGTTGACGAAGCCTCATGGCCGCTGTAGGCATAAGTTAGGGAACCCCTTATTATTAAGAAAACCGCGGATGTTCAAGGAGAACCTACCTTGTACAGTATGATCTTTGGTCTGGTTGAGTCCCAATGTCAGGGCCCCCTTGGCGTCAGCAGGAAGCTTGAGATCAGTGCCTCTAGTATGTGCCTCATCAAGATAGACAAGGCAATTCTGAAGGTTATCGGCATATGGAGTAGCAAGGAGTGGCGCATCCTTCCCGATTCTATACCAAACCCGTGGCTTATTATCAGGCCCAAAGTACACTGCAGCTTGTGCCTTAGTATCTTTCTCTAGCCATGTCTTCACCAATGTCAGATTGTCCATTTCCAAGATCAAAGCGCCAGCGTCAATAAGAACTCGGATCTCGCTTCTAGCCAAATCTAATAGGAGTCCGGCTTCAGACATTCGTCCCCCATCTGAGAAAGCTGGTCTATATTCTCTGTTCCTGCTTTGAAGCAGGTAAGTAAGAACCTCAGCATTAGTGTGCAACAGTTCTGGCAAGTCATGCTGCTCAATTGTTAGCGGCAGTAGTCTGCGATTGTCGTTGGTTCCGCTGAAGCCAGTCGTCAATCCGACACCGTTGCGTTTAGCACCTCTGGCAGGGACAATGGAATTGAACGGCACATCCCAACCCGAGGTCTGAAGTTTGATGGCAAATTGCTTTGCGTGAACTGGAAACACAAACTGTTTCAAGAAATAGTTTATCATGACCATTGAGGATCGCATGATATGCCAGAATTCAGCGACTTGGCCTTGGTCATCCACGTTGATGAGGTTCCAATGCCGTAAAGCTTCAGGGAGGTCTGAGGTCTGAGTTAACCGGTCATACTCCGTTGCAGGATCATCCGACTTCAGCACAGCCTGGAGGCACCGACGGCACTGCTCTTGACTCAAGCCCTGATGATAGAAGGCAAGGCATGTAAATAATATTGCAACATCTGGATGGCCCCATTCGGCATAGTCTGATGGGACGCCCTTCGCTTGGAAAGGTACGGCCATAGGATCACGCCCTGGATGTAGTCCATACTGAACATTCCATCTTTTCTTCAGACAAAGGAGGAGTATCTGATGAACAAAAAGTCCCCGCAGCAGATACGTTCTCTTGCACGCCCTGGGAGCTTCCCGAAACAGATCTTTAATGATTTTGACAGCAGAGCTATCCACTGATTCCTTGGAGATGAAGCGCTTGATAGCCTCCTGCTCTGTAATATTAAAGCTTTGAACTGGAAGAATAGAGCCTCGCCCTGAGCAAATATCTTGTACAATCCGCTCAGTGAGTGCGACCTCCGCATCTCGTCTAAGTAAGAAGACAAGTGGAAATGAGCAGAGCGGCCTTTCGATCACGTCGATGCTTTGGGGGAAGGCCGGAGCTAAATCTCGAACATGCTGGGCTACCAAGCCTAGTACGCCCATAATGGCTTCCCAACGGTCGGAATTTCCATCCACCGCAAGCTGCGAGCCACTTGGGTAGATAAGCTGTGTTTTAACAGCCAAGGTGTAGTCACACTCATCGAGGATGTCGCGGCCAATACTGTCAATCCAGTCCTGTGTCCTTATCATTTCAGCAGCCTCAGCAAGCTTTAGGTCTGAAACCCTCTGCAGCCCACTCAACTTGAATGATAGTGCGTGCTCGGGAACACCTAGTATTATTCCTGCTTTGCTACTTATCTTCTCATGGAGGGAGCGGTATTCTTCAATTAACTCCATGTTTGTGGGAGTGCGCCTTGAGAAAGGAATATGCATGAGCTCTTTACCGACGAGGCCTCCTAGCCGGTCCTGCAAGACCTGTGCCGTCTGGGCCGTGAGTGCTTTTGGCACTAGAAGCCTGACAAGATTGTTACAGTCAGCTAATGCGCATGCAACCATCGGCATAATAACCGATGTTTTGCCTTGGCCCATATTCATCTGCAAAACAGAGTTGGATCCTGAGGTAGGGGAGACCATCTCCAGTGCTACAGTCACTTGTTCCTGACGAATTTGCACATTCCCATCAATTTCAAGCAGTATCCAGTCCGGGTAATCCACGTAATTCCATGAAGCATGAGCTGAACAACTCAGTTCCTGCTCAAGCCTACTTTGGTCGTGTTTCGCAAAAAGCTCCTTCATCCGAACCAGACGCTGTAAGTGAACGATGGAAAGGCCATACTTGATTAGGGCTTGTTGCATATTTGGCCCAAAATTGGTTGATGCAGTTTTTCGAAGCTGTTGCAGAATAGTCCTCGGGGTTATGCACGGCCAGATGTTTCCGCGTTGCAGCCAAGGGTGCCTAGCATCGCCAGCTGATAGCTTGTCACAGATCTGACGGTAAATCTGGTGCACAACAGCACGAGCGTTCCTAATTTCGGCGTCATACCTGGCCATTTCCACTAAGTAATGGGTCTTTGTGGCATGTACGCTCATTGACCGTTGATCTTTATCTCTTAATGCAACAATACTCAGCTGCAAGTCCTGGCCATACGTCGACCTGACCGAATAGCCCGAGTCCGTGATCCGACGCACTATCTGCTCAAGCTCGGCAATCTCAGGTTCTCGCACTCCCTTATAGCTTTGGCGGATACTGGGATTCGGAGAGCTTGCCGGGTTCGCGATTTTTTCCTCGTTGAGTAACATGGGATAGCTTGAGCTCGGTACCATTTCTGGGCCTGGCTTGCTGATTAGGTCCTGGTCTAAATGCAACGTGACCTTTGTTGTCCATCTGGATCCACCCCAAAACTCTTCGGGCTTGGGAGTGAGCTCATCATTATTGCAACGGTTTGTAGGTGCACTATAGGCATCCAGAACCGTTTGTGCATCTTGAACATATTTTGAAAGCTGGAAATTCTTGAACCGTCGCAGCCAATCTGGACTGACAACTTCTAAAGCACTGCCAACATCCAAGATCTCTCCTGAGAAAGCGGTTGCTGACGGTTTGGAACAAGGCCACTCCTTGAGAATTGATAAAGCGAAAGATTCGCTCTCAGCCATACATTTTTTCTCATGGTTAGCACGTTCAGTCTTGGCTTTCTTGTACATACTCTGATGCCTCTTTAAAAAGTCCAGTTTCTGTTCGGCCAGGTTTTGATACTCCTTGCAAAATGGTCTTGCAAGTGTTATGATTGTCTCGACATCAGGGGGCTTATCATCCGGAAAGCCTTCGAAAGAAGGATGGGAGGGCAACTCGATTCTTTTCAGATCAGGCAGTATGAAAAAAGCTGCCAAAACCCTAAGCACATCCATGTTCACACCTTTGTCATATGCAATTAGGCCCAGGTGGAACATGAGGTGGTACACATCTTGCCGCTCACACTCCATGCAAAGGCGCACCAACATGCCCCACTTGAGTGAAAGATCTAAAGACAAGGTCTCTTGAATAGTGGTTGAAGCGAATTTGCTATTGAAGCCACCAATAGATGACCACTTGCCCAAGAGGCTCGCGAGGTTTTGTGTAGTTCGAAGGACGGGTGGTCGCTCTCGCAGTATAGTCACAATCTCTCGAACGTTTGAGATGCGCTTGGACATAAAACACCCTACTCGTGACAGATAAGGAGTATCGGAGGTTATGCTTATGGGCTGACACGACGCATCTGTACGTTCATACAAGGATCGCCGCTGGTGGGCCCTTGCGCTGAGATGCGGCTCGTTCGTGGCTTGCTGCGGTTGGTGGTGAGCTCCACCAATCTGGAACAGGGAAAGCTTGTGGGACCTGGACAATATTGAATTGACTATTGGCCGATATGCCTCATGTTGAATTGATGTTGTAAGTGCTGGATTCCAATTGACGACTTGCAGGCATTTGAGGCCTTTCGGGTAATACTGGCGCGATGGAGTCAAATACGAGATTGTTTGTAACAATTCTCTAAAGCCCGGGTACAGAGGACTCCATGGCTGCGCGTGGGCCGACTCTAGAATATGGAGTGCTTCTTCTGTTCCTGTTCTGGCTGTAAGAGGGTCGGTCATTATGAAAGATGTATGCGCGTGTAATTGTGCCAAGGTATACAGCAGTCGCGGTTCAGCAGGGCCATGGATTCGGCCAAGAATATCATCGATCATGTATCTTGCATAAAATCCATCATTCTCTTTGCGCACTAGCACATGAATACCATGTCGCTGGTAGTGAATTTTCCCTAGCGGCGTTATAATACTCCGCTGTGAACGATTGTGGACATTTCGAAGAACCAACATGCTTTGTAGTCCGTAGAAAGTGCCGGCATCTTGATCAGGGTCGACTTCTGCACCCAGCTGCGGGCATTGGAATAGTTTTCTCCTGTTCACGTGGAATGTCAAATTCAAGCGCTTCAGCTCAACGGAAAGTTCTTTCACGGGAGGTTGATATATCGTCAACATCGACGGCCGTTCGAAATGAAGAAAAATGTTAGCAATTGCAGTGGCTAATGACGAGTTGGGGTCAACCAGATAGGATTTTCTGTTGCGCTGTGCCTTTCGAGTTTTGATGTTCAGTTTCCAGTTCGCGGGCCTTGGTATCCAAATAGCGGGCATGCGTCGAGCCTCAAGAATACCTATTCCTAAATCAAGCCAGTGCACACAATCACGAACCAAAGGTTCAGGTAAGTCAAAACTCTGGCCCTTGCTAAATATTCTTCGTGGAATATGTTCCAGGACACTTCCACCTTTGGTAGTGGCTTGAATTACCAGGGCTTTGCTCCGATATCCCAGATGAATCTGGCATCCTTCTTTGTTAATGGCCAAGGTGTAACTCATTCCTGGTCGATTGGACGGGAAAGCCGCCAATCTCTGGTCACCAAAAAGCTCTTTCAATTCTTCTGAGTCACGAATTTCGGCCGGGAGCTTTCCCAACGGTTTCCCATCCACGAGAAAGTGGCCTTCCAGAATATGGAGATGAATTATTTGGGGTAGGGTGTGCTCAGTGGCGCGAGACTCTGTAGTGACCCATAGTTCATGTGGGTGCGGCAAGCTCTGCCATACCGCAAATTGTCTGGTGGCGCTTGTAGGCCATACTTTGTCGATGGCAGACGCGATACTTCTAGGGTGTAGCTTGAATGCAGCGTGTACAATTGGCCGAAGTCGAACAGACATCTTAATGTCACGCACCAACATACTGTGCATTAGGTTGTCGAACTTGCTTATATCGAGGACAAAGCATTCCTGCATAGCCAAAGTAGCCTCAATAAAGCACTGAAAACTTTCCGAATCCAGATCCTCTCTGGCATAAGCCTGGGGGAAGAAGGTGCGCCGACACAGCAAAGCAGCTAGGACGCAGTAGCGAGCTCCTCTTTTTTCAACGTCTAGCTGCAAGGCGTTTCGAGTCTCCGTTTGTAAGTGGTCAATCCACTTCAGTGTAATGCGGCGTATTTTGAGCAGCAAATCTCCGGCTTCTGCTCTTGATGTTTGGCAGCCAAGATTGTGTACCTGTATGGTCAAGGTGAGCATGGTCTCCATATACGTCACTTCGCGCCAGTTTGGAGCTATTATGGAAACGTGTTGATCGATTTGCTCCAACAGCCTTGTACAAAATTGAACGTCTTTGAAGATGGCATGCACCACGCGAAAGGGATCATCCTGCGATTGAGGACCGACTTGCAAAGCAAGGTGGTTCAACAGAACCATTGCATCGAGCGAGCTTAGATTGATATTTGAAGAACCAAGCTCGGTGAGTATTGTCAGCCACCGGCGATGCTTACCAGACTTCAGAGCTTGATGAGCCAAGAATTCATGTACTGTCACTGTTGGCGGACATTCACGCATTGCTGCTATGGCCTCATAAGAAGTTGGACCCGAGCCAGAGGGAGCAAAGCTTGGAGAGGAGTACAGCTTTGCGAAGGGGAGGCTTGGGGGTAAAGAAAGAACGAAATGGTGTGCAATTGTGAGCGGTTCAGACTTGCATTTGGCCCACAGCCGTCGGTCAGAATCATAGTAATGGAAGGTTAACCCAAATGGACGCAAAATACTGCTCGCTGATGCGGGAAGGGACTTCGATTTGTAATGTGTTTTGAGATGAGATTTTGTAGAAGATGCAAGTGTTAATCCTCCGTTAGATCTCTCCAAGTAGACCGAATATGGTTTGTGTTGCCGGAGCATCATCTGGGGTGACCCTTCGTGTGTTGCGGGTTTCATGGGGCCGAATCGGTTGATTATAGTCCAAGTCGCACTTCGGTATGCACTAAATACCTTGGGAGTCCTTAATTCAAACACTATGGCTCTTGTCTCATACAGTTTCTCGTCTGTAGGCAAGTAATCTTCATGGATGGTAATCTCTAAACGTCGACGGCATCGGACATAATAGCAGTGGCTGCATCCTCGGATATCATGAGTACCATCAGGGTGTCTCCGCTGAGTACAGATGCTATTATTGATGGACCTCGTCAGTGACTCGAATTCTTCATTGATATCAGCGAGCTCCGACTCCTTCAAAGCCCGGGCCACCGAAGATGCCTTTTCAATCTTCCTTTGCATTTGAACCAGGTCTCTGCCAATCGGAAGTCCCAAAAAGCGATCTGCAAAGCATCCTGGAGACGGATCAGAAAAAATTGTCATATCCCCCCTAGATGCTGCAGTGCAACGGTCTTGGAGGTATAGTTGGATCTTCTGTAGTCGTTCTAAATCGACGTATCTCGACAAAAGCAAAACATCCAACTGCTCGGCGCAGAACACAGGACGGTACTCGCAGATCAAGGGATAAACACTCGTGGCGCATTTGTCCATGAGCACCCATAGTTCGAATATGTTAAGAATGAAGAAACTCAGCTGTTCATGGTCGCTGTCGTGAGACTGTCCTACCACATCCAGGTAGCATGTTATCTGGCGGGCAACATCGAGACACACCTCATCACTTTTACCTTCCGAGATTGGAGACTCTCCTTTTCGAAATTCGATGTCAAGCTCAGTCTCGGCAATCGAAGAATATTTCTTGACCAGAGATACAAACTGATCGCCAGTGCTTTTGTCCATGTGGCTGGAAACGTCGAATGGGTCTACAGTTCGAGGTCTGTTAACCAGGGTCCCAGGGCGGCTCCTCATGACATTTTCAAGATAGGAGATACTGTTTGGTAAAGTCAAAAAGAAATCTGTGTCCTTCGCACAGATTGGCAACAGCGGTATCTTGCGCTGGTTCCGCTTTTTGAATGCTTCCCATTCAACACTGATGGCGTTTCTCATGACGGTGACGGACTGTTGGCAAACAGGATCCAACTTCCGGGAAAGGTGGGCATGTAAAGTTCTCGTTTCTGTTGAGGACGTTTGAATTTCCGTTTCTAGCTTGGCTAGCCGGCGGCACAATTTGGTGTTAAGCCAGCTCCATTGCTCAGGTTCCAATACCTTTCTATCAACAACATTCCCAAGTAGCTCTGCCAGGACAATGCAAAGCAGAAACTTGTACTGCAGACGACCTAGGTCACTGCCCAGATGCAGATATAGCAATCGTTGTATAGACACTCGAAGCACAAGCCAAAATGGACTACGCCGCCACGGAAGCTCGGCATTGTCCCAGCATACGTCATCCTTGACACGCTTTTGCAATGCCGGTGGGCATACATGGCTGCCGTTCACCCCGAGCAGTGCTATAAGGAATTCAGTGATGATGGACGGGTCGACTGTATTGCGTCTCTCAACCACCTCCTTCCCAGCTTTCCTTGCTTTGGCGGCAAATTGCTCCAGTTGTTCTGTGCTCGCCTTCTCGAGAAAGTCTGTAAGAGACGCTTGGAGGACCGGGTCTCTAAAATTTTCGACAGAAAGCGATACTGCCGTCCCTGGGAATGTCCATCTTAATGCTCCCGAGGCGGCCAGTGTTTGTTCTGCACTTGGCGATGTTTCGAAGGCCTCAATAACCACATTATCACCATTCCTGATAATGATTGGTTAGTATTACGGCGCAACATCTAGGGATCAGACCTACTGTGGCATCCGAATAAGCAGTGCGGCGTTCTGCTCTCCGATATTCACTATGACAGCTCCCCCTGGCTGTAGTGCTCCCAGTGCGTCAAGCAGAGCGCCCTTGTTCACCATTCCATTCTGATTCACTGCGCTGCATGTGTCCAGTGACGCATTGATTGACTCCCAGACAGCCTTCGAAGCGTCATCTGAAACATGGTAGACGGTCTGAACTGCAGAACGCAAGCGGATGATGAGATCGCGTTCTACCTTTTCTGGCTCCCGGTCCTTTTTCCCAGGAAGCTTTGGGGGAAAAGCGATATGATTGAAAACGTCCCTCAGAGTCTCAGCGACGGACATTTTGGTGAAGCGTGGTGGTAGTAGTATGGTACTGGGCAAAATAAGAGTGTTTGTCAACAGATGTCAACGAGTACCACAGGCAGTGTTTAAATAGGCGCGACGGGGCCAACTCACCACCTGAAGCGAGGAGCGCAATCCCTGTTAGCAGGACATACCAGCGATGCCTACCAACGCAGCCTTATCTTGATGGTAGCAAGTGATGGGACCCCTGTCTGATTATCTTGCCTATACGGACGCGTCACGGCGCCAACGGCAGAGTAGAGAGTGATGTGGCAGTGTGTTATTAGTTGCTGTCAACCTGGTAGCCTTTCCCAGTTGACCAGTAGTGAGCTAAAGTCGGTATACATTCTCCAAGTGAATCGACAGGAAGTGAATGCCTCCGAAAATCTTTCCAGTGTTTCTCATTTCTTTGGTATGCGTCAGAGTAGAGAGCATGTGAGTGAAAGACGGCGACATTACAGAATGGCGTTCAGTCATGTCGCTGGCTGAGGTTCATCTATTGCGCCGATATTGTTGGATTTTGAGTCAAATATCACTTATGACTTCATTCTGATAGGCCATGCTCAATCATTGATCCTAACTAGTACGTAAGGTCGGGAGTCACTGCCCCAGCCGCTGGCGAAGGACATCATTGCACCATCATAAAGTGATCCACGGCATTCACATGGTCTGTGGAATTTTTTGGCTATCAGCATGTCTGGGCGTCAATTTTGAAAGGATACCAAAGTATTTCCCGACAACAGCCTTGCAGCGCCAGCGCCTATGGTGAGGTGTTTTCTAACCAGATTAGTGGCCAACCATTCCACTACTCACATCGACAACTCGGTAGACAGTATGATAGGATATAAATGCTTACCATCGATGCATGCAGACCTCAGTAGCGCCCACTGCGCCTCAATCACTCCCATTTCACATTCCGCTCAGCTGCAGCGCCAGAGTGAGTTTTCCTTGTAGAATACTGATTCCGTACAAAAGCACAATGATGTAATTATGAGGATAGCATTCATTTTACTATAGATTATAATAATTGAGATAGATTAAAGCAACGGCAAGTTGTCAGGAAACTGAAATCCAACTGTGCGGCTACGATCAGGTGGTGCGCGTATCCGCTGAGATAGGAAGGCGCGATCGGAGACTCAACAGGCTGGACGCATCTTCCGTGTTCTGCCACCGGCGCAGTAAATCCTGGAGGGTGTCCTGATGTTTGGTTCATAACATGCCGCCAAAACCCAGAACGATCCGACTCCAATCAAATAGCAAGGATCCCCAATCAAGTACGACTAAGTGACCTATAGATTAGGTCGAGACAGTGAGGGGAAACAACTCGGGAGGAACCTAATTCGCTAAATATTAGCCCAGGCCTGTACGTCCCGAGCACCTATAGGATATTCGTTCCAACTCGGTCGGGCTTATCTGCCAGTACCTAGTTCAGCCTTGCACAGAGATCCTTCTCAGAAATCCATCTACCTATGGAATTGCTTCCGGAACCAACAATAACTTCTCTCTGATCGGCGCCAGCCTAACCGCTCTGACTGCTTCCCAGGCACCAGGACAATTTTGCCTGCTGCAGGCATACTGGAGGGCTCTCTCTTGGGGCTTTAAGGACATACGATGAAAAGCGTATATTAATTATATGCATATATTTTTGATATATAACGGAGAAGATAGCATCTATTCTATGTAGGGTATAAGACTTCAAAGCACACTTTTCGAAAATAAACACAGACAAGTCACGCTCACAGCGAGCAGTCTCGCCCGCCACGCCATCTATTATGACCATTAAACATTACCACATCACGTCGACTCCTTTCCGAGACGATGACGTCTCCAGCTAACCGACATGAAGCAGATAGACGTCACCATCCCTAACCCAGCAAGTCCTATGCCGAGATAAAGTGCTCCGCGGTATCCCTTCAGGGGGTTCTTTCCGCCATCGTTAACGTTCGACTCCACAGTACCGGCAAATCCCAGTCCCAGTGAGATGGAATAATTGACTGTTGTCGTGACCAGCGATGCCGCTAGACCCTGGTGGTGATGGTGCATCGAATTGCTCAGGATGAGTGTTCCTGATGGGAAGGACATATCCCTGATATTAGTTAGTATAAGTCACGGAAATGAGTGATTGAACTTGGTACGTACATTCCCCAGGACGTGATCAGACTAGCGACAAACGCCTGCGCCCAGTACGTCTGATGCACAGGGACAGTGGCGAAGATGGCTTGTCCAGCAGTGAAGAAGCACATGGCGAAGAACATGATCACACTAGGTGGTAGCTTTCCCAGCAGGAAACCGGTGACCAGCGCAGCAACGGCCCCAGACGGCGCGGCGGCGGACCATTTAGCGGTCGCAAGTAGTGGCGAGTCACCCTTGATGACCTCCATGTACTGGAAGAAGTAGTAGACGATAATTCCGAAGCTGGACCAACCCGCCGCAATGCAGCCGAGCACCCAGGCCAGGTCACCGGAGAGGACTGATCACGGGATCAAGGGGCACGGGGCCGAGCGTTCAACGAAAACGAAGACGCCGAAGAAGACAAATCCGACAATAAGGAGGGCATAGGTGTAGGGTGTCTGCCATCCCACGAGTGCAGCCTGATTCCAGGCAAAGTTAATCAGGACTAGAGCCGAGATACCGGTGATAGCACCGAGAATATCCAGTCGCAACCAAGCTGTCATGTTGTCTGTAAACTTCGGACGATGGGTAACGGGAATGACGAGGATACCGAGAGCGGCCAGTACAAAGCACACCATCCCCATGACCCAGTATGCCCACGGCCACCAGACAAGCTGAGCAAAGAGGGAAGAGAAGACACCCCCAACGATGAACCCGCCCGGTGCTGTGGCTCCGAAGCAGCTAAAGATCATCTCCTTGCGCAAGCCGGGAGGATAGGCACGTCCGAGAATAGCGATGGCGTTCGGGAGTAACATGGCGGGACCAATTCCTTGCAGAGCTCGACAGCAGTCGAAGAAGACCTTGTTCGACCACACGCTGAATCCGGCCAGGAGTGACCAAAGACCGAACCAGAAGAATCCGATGATGAACATGAGTCGATGCCCGTAGACGTCTCCGAGCCGACCCGCGACCAGAATGAAGGTTCCGACAGTCAAGCTGTAAGCTGCGGCGAACCAACTGAGCTGTCCTGCATTGGTGGTGCCAAAGCTGGCGCCAATGATGTGAGCTGGGGCAATGGACATGCATAGGCCGGCTTGTGTCATGAATTGAGCCATGCAGACCACCGCAATGAAGATGATTTCTTTCCATAGTTCTGACGGGGGCTTGACGGCCGACTGGGCTGTCTCGAGCCGAGTCAGCGCTTCGGGGTCCTCATTGTCTAGGTTGGATGGCTTTTCCTGCAAGTCGCCGCGACTGATAGTGGATTCGGAGTCATATGGTGTCGACCCATCTAAGACTTGCTCTGAACGATTGTTGTGTGCAAGTTCCGACATGTTCAATCACCACCGAGCAGACAGTGTTTCCGGCGCGAGAGTGCGGTCGAGCGGCCGAACTTTGGGGGCCCCATACATTATATATGAAGGGAAGATAATGCTCGAAGAAGAATCTAGATAGATACTATTCCCTAACTATTCCCTATGATGTCTGCCGTAGACCCACACTATCGCCACCGTTGCGTAGCCCAGCAATTCTATTCGTTGATGCTGAGCCAAAATGATACCATTGGGGCAGGAAGGTTCAAATCCCGTCGGAAGCGAAACTGATCCGTCGGGAGTGGCAGCAAGGGACCACAGATAACCTCAAAAAAAGGGGACGCAAATGAGCCAAAATCCTCCGAGCGGCATGCCGATCAGACAGAATTTTCACATTTCGGGCCCGGAATTGGGTGAGATTGCGGAAGCATCAATATAATGTGTAGTTTGCAATGGCTAACTGGGAGGAAAGAGTTTACCCGGTCGATTAAGTAGATTTGCTGCTAACTGGCTGACAGCCATCTGGTGGGGTTCTTATCTTAAATCTTCATGATAGCACCCTGACACTTAACAAATAAACTGGAAACTTACATAGCAGTCCTGCCGTACGCATGGTGCGTCCCTGCACGGCTCTTCCGTCTTGAGCCTTCTAGGGCTGTGACTACGCTAATCCTAAAGAGGTATCTTGATGTCCTCTCCAGCTTAATGCTCGCATGCAGAGTGACTATGTCCGAACATCAGTTATGTGTGTGGAGTACTAGTATCGGCTAACATATATCTTCAGAGATGATACTTACTATAGAACGCATCTTATCTAACGATGGAATGGCTGTTGCCGATTTCAAGTTCAACCGGACTTTTCCCGAAGTATATACTTTGCTACTCATCATAATATATATGGAGCTTCATGGCGGAGTGTCTCTTGCCGATGATTAGTTGAACCGACTTTGCTTTTAACGCAGACAAACTAAGTTACTCTACTACTTACAACTTCTGGTGTATCCTCTGTTTCCCAGGCGACACCAATCAAGTGTGCCCAGCTGTATCACTGCATTATTCAAGACTGAACAGAGTTTGTGGCCAGGACAGATCACAGCCTCGAAGTTATTGAGGCTATGTGGAGTTCTGAAGGGAGATACCTGATACCAGCTGGCTGTACTGGCATTATGGCCTTATTGTTCTTTTTAGAAAATACAATGTCAGTGACTTAGTTGTCCCCCGGCTCGGCAATGGGCTGACTTGAAAGGAGACATCGAGACGACAAAGAGCCTTTCAAAAGCCAGGTTATCGCTGCAGAATACTCTTCAACTAGCATCTTAACAACGCTGTTCTCCTGAAGATACAATGGATTGATTACTACTCAAACTACTTTGTCCTCGCGCTCTCTTGACAAGGTTGATTCCATCGTCCCTTGTATTTGAGTGGTATATTCATCTACTATCAGGAGAGACATCTCGAATTTGAGTATTAGCACCCACTACTGCCAAGCCCACTACTGCTAAAAGAAATTTGCGAGTCCATCTCCGATTCTTAGCTCAATGCAAATTGCGACAAACCCACCTGGGTTGGATCATGTGGGTCATATTTCAAGTGATGTCAGTCAAAGGAGACAAAGCAAATCTGACTTCATTAGCACTTTTGGATTGGGCTGAGCTCTCAAAGAAGCGCAAAAACACGGAGAAAAGGAATCCAGTCACTCAGGATTCCAAATAAGCATTTCATATTCTGCACCGCTGACAAGAGTACATGACGTTTTCACCTTGGGATGAAGAAAGGGGATCTCCGACATCGCCAGTGGAGCCGACGACAGCCGAGGATCGGCAATCCCGTGACAGGCAGTAAAACGAGCTAATGCCGGCTAGCTCCTGACCGCCTCCAGAACAGGCTAGACAGCAGGTGCATCACATGCAATCGGAGGAAAAAAAGAGTGGCGGCCTGAAGTCGGGGGCGTCCAACGCCTGCACGAAACAATCCAAAGAAAAAGAAACGCGCCCAGAAAAGATCCATCAGCTTTCCCTTTTTCCAAAGAAAAATAATGTGAAGTTGCCGATTACACTCCAATCGACCTGATCTCATCACCATGCCATTGATTTTGCTCTCCCTCGTTTTCTTCCATGAGATCTGGGATCGTGTGTGACACGTTGTGATCGTGGCTGGAGAATATTAATGCTTTACCCCGCCGGACCTTCAAGAGAAACAATAGGCAACTTTCCCCTCCACCTTCATTGTTGGCGGTTTTTCACCTCCTCCCTTCTTCTCTTCTCCTCCCATCGTCTTCTATATAATTACCTTCGCACCTCTTCACTTACCCCCAAGCATCTCAAGCATCTCAAGCATCTCAAGCATCTCAAGCATCCATCAGACATAGAACTTCTGCGGTCATGGGGAAACTCCCTGCGGCCATTATCGTCGCCAGGTATGTCCACCTTTTCTTCTGGTTGATGCGCAATCGGGAACTGACTCTTTTCCTTTGCTTAGACATGGCGCTCGCCTGGATGTTGCAGACAAGAATTGGCATCTCACTTCGCCTACCCCCTATGACCCTCCCCTCTCGTATGGCGGCTGGCTACAGTCTCGAGCTCTTGGGGCCCGCATCAATGACGTTGTCCAGTCTCTGGATGACTCACTAGACTCTACAACAGAAATTGACAATGGTATCAAGTCGCCTTCCGACCGTCTACAAAAGCCAAAATCGAAGCGCAGGATTATCATTCACACATCTCCCTTTACTCGATGCCTACAGACAGCCATCGCGGTCAGCTCGGGGATCTGCCAGAGTTCGGGCGAGCCAGAGCTCAACCGGTCCTCGAAAGTCCCCAGTTTAGTCCAGTCAAATTCGGATTCTGCCTTGACCCCAGGTCCCATTACATCAAGCGACCATCGATGTCTCCTACGGGTGGATGCCTTCCTTGGGGAATGGCTTTGCCCTAGATACTTCGACGAGATTATCCCGCCGCCCAACTCGGATCGCATGATCACTGCTGCAAAGCTCGAGCTGCTGCGTCGCGAGCACAGTTTCGTTCCCGAGGCGGACATCGTCCCTAGACCCTCCGCTGGCTTTTTCCCTGGTGGCTGGGGGAGTGCATCTACTCCGGTTTCTCCCGCCAATGATGTAACAGCGAAGATTAAGGCAGAGGCCCCACCCGGTACACGTCAGACGCAGGCACAGAGGTCGCGCGCTGGCAGCTGTGACACCTTTAGCGCTGCTGAAACGACTCGCGGACGGCGGATGCTCAGCAAGATTAATACCAATCTCCCCTCCATTCCAGATGCCGCCTACGTGCCTCCAACGCCCAGCTATGCCATTTCTCCTTCGGACCCCATTCCAGCTGGGTACGTGACGCATGCTCGGGACGCCTGTGTGAAGATCGATTTTCAATGGGACAGTATGCACGGGGAGCAGAACTGGGGTGATGGAGGCGAGTACGGCGAAGAATGGAGTACGATGCATACGCGGTTCAGTACGGGGCTCGACCGCATGCTTGCTTGGTATCGGGACTACGAGTCAACTTCTTCCGGTCGGCCTCGACGACATTCTCAGATGCTCGACAGTTCTGGCGAAGCCAGTTCCCGCAGTGAAGCGGATGACGATACGGAGACGATTTTGGTGTTGATTACGCACGGCGCGGGTTGCAATGCAATGATCGCAGCACTGTCCGGGGAGCCATCCCAAGTGAATGTCGGCACTGCATCTCTCACCGTGGCGGTCCGCAATGATCACATGCCCGAAATGGCGCAAGATGATACCATTGGCGGACCAGTTCGGACCAAGGGATCCAACGAGCCATCCAGCGTGGAGAGTTATGCCATGAAAATGGTGGCTTCAACCGAGCACCTCCGCATCGCTCCCAGCATGTCACGTGTCTCCCCGAGCCAGGTGACCTCCCCCTCACTCTCGTCCTACCGACACCGTCTAGCAAACCGCCCATCGCTGTCACAAGGCATGTTCATCATTGGACCCTCGTCGACATCCGGCCCCAGCACTGTTCCCTGGAATGCCGAGCGACCCTCTACGGCTGTCACTCCTAAGACCTCAGGGCTCTGGGGGTCCAGCGCCGCCGATGGCCCAGAGGACGATATCGTGCCTAACTTTGGCTGGCCTGCGCCGGCGCCCCCGATCCAAGGAGAGAGCTCTGTCCAGGCCAAGGTGGATGAACCGACGTCTGCCAAACAAGTGCCACAGCGAACACTCTCCCAGCGCGGACTCTGGGGAAGCGCGCCGCTCAGCAGGGACCGTGAAGCGGGACACAAGCGTCGCTGGACTGTGACTGAACGACGACCATAATGATACCAGGTGGAAATAATTTTCTTTGTATCTTTCGGGTTTGTTTCTTAGGCTTGGAGTTTGGGATGAGACCATCTAGCTAGGTTGCATAGTTTTGGGTGTGAATAGCGGTTCATAGCTGACAGGAGTTTAATATACCCTTGCTGATACTGATACCACTTACGATTATGGTGCAGAGTTGAAGTAGGCAAACAGTAGCAGTCCACTCCATTAAATCATTAGAGGCCATACAGATGTCTGCGAAGTGCTGAAACGAACATCGATTTCACACCAGTAGATAACTTACACTACCCTATCCCTATTTCCAGATTCCTAAATTCTCAAAACACTCGAAAACATAAATCACCCTTGATTCACACACCGCACAGTACTACACAGACACTACTTCATCTCAGCAACAGCAAAACCATCAACCTATTACAAACCCCAATCCCAGAATGCAATTCCACTAACATCACCCCCTAAACTAGAATACAATAAGATAAAATAAATAATACAGCACCCCTCTCCTCACATCCAACCAACAATAACCTCCTTCCACCTCTAATCCACCCCCAACAATCGTCTAATACAACAACTTACACTCCCAATTCTCCGCCTCATCCGGATCCCCCTTGCCAGTATACTTAGCCTGGTACGGATAATGACAAACGGGTCTCTGCCTAAGCACCTCCTGAGCATTGGTGGTGTTCTTCCACACCGTCGCAACAATGCTATCCGGCGCCGTGCCATTCTCCACCCACGCCATCATGGCCAGGACCACATCGTGCTTGGCGTCCCTGTATCCGGGGACACTCCACGACGAGGTGTTGATGTAGGATGCTTGGTCTGCGCCGGCGATGTACCACGGGGCGTTCATGTCCGTGGGAGTGTTGTAGCAGTGTCTATACCAATTACATTCCAGTTAGCATCGACCTTTATCAAAAAGAAGAGGAGAGAAGAGAGAAAAGAAAAGGGGTGGGTAATGGGTATACGCACTCCATGCCGGGGATCAAGAACAGACGATAGAAATCATCCACATCATCGACGCCGTTCGCCTGCACGGCGCTCTTGGCCTGGTCGTAGTAGAAGGTGCTCGCTCCGGGAGAGACATAACTATCCGAGAGGCCATGGTAATGGATGAATTTTCCACCGCGTTTCTCGAACTCGCTGATGTCGTATTGTCCGGCTGTCGCGTTACCGGGGTTCAAGTGGTCGGCTAGCTCGACGGTGCTGAAGTCGAGGTCCTGCCAGACGAAGGAGTCGCCCAGGCCCATGAGATCACGGAGGTACCAGTATTGCTGGGAGATGGTCGACTCCTCGCCGAGACCGATGTTGCCCTCTAGCCAGGAGGATTCACTTCCGTAGAAGAGGTGGCTGTAGACGAAGGTCTGGTTGGTGTCGACCCAGTCGTTGTAGATCTTGTACAGGGTGTTGAGTTGGTTGGTGGTGAGGCAAGTGTTGGGTGCGCTGGTGGAGTTGCAGGCCAGGGTGGATGGGTTGAAGACGCAGCCCTCCGGGTTCGAGATGATGTTGTCCACCAGGCCGTCTTGCGGGTCACATTGGCGGAGGACTTCGGCGGCCAGGACGGGGAACATTTCCTCCGGGATGGTGTGAGAGCTGTTGGCGGGGGCTTGGTAGGTCGTTTGCTTCAGGTTGTAGAGCTGCTGGTGCGTGGTCCACCAGGCGGGGGCGCCTGCGATGATTCCGTCGTAGTCGTCGGGGTACACTTGCATGTTCTTCATGCTTTGGCGGCCGCCGGTCGAGCATCCGTAGAAGTAGCTGTAGGCTGGGCCGCTGCCGTAGCGGCCGGAGATCAGGAGCTTCGCCAGCGTGGTGGCGCCGTGCCAGGCGCGGTAGCCCCAGTCGATTACGGCTTCCGGGCGGCCGAGTGCCCAGGTACCGGCTGTGTCGATGCCTTCGTGGCCTAGGTTACTGGAGACGGCGGCGAAGCCGTAGTGCGTGCCGGTTCCCTGTTGGGGAGTTTAGTTGGAGTTTATGGGGTGGGAATGTGAGGATGGGGGAGTACCATGTCAACCCAGTTGATGCCGCCTCCGGCTGCTGCGGAGCTGGGGAGTGTTAGTATAGGCGGTATTGGTATAGAAGAGCGTAAGGGAGTGGGAAGCTTACAGCATCCGTCCGTTCCAGTTGTATGGGAAAATCACACCAACCAAGTAGCTGGAGTTACCCTCGGACGCGACGTTGACCTGCACAGCACACGACTCGGGCAGGCCGGTCGGGTACTCGGACGCGGAGGTGTAATTCATAGGGTTGAGAGAACCACCCTCGGGGACGTAAGTGGCCCATTGAACGCGTGCTTCAGTGCCATTGGCATTGATGATCTTCTGAAATGCGGATGCGGAGCAGTTGGTGCTGGAGATTGCAGTGGCCGCGGTGAATCCCACCAAGGGGAAGGCCGCCAGAGGGATCTGATACCTCATGTTGTGAGTGAGGTGCGGTCAATTGGATACTGGGATGAGTTGCTGATGAGGATAGAAGACCAGAGGAACTCTCTGCTATTTATGTGGCATGGTGGTCATTGAGCAGAAGTAGACGCGTCATGTCTTCTGCAGAGAGACGGGACGAAGTATCGTACGGCATGGAGGTGGATGATGCGGTGTTGGAGTGGCGAGGTGATCTTCAGGCACGTTGCTTGATTCAGAGATGAAGACCGAGGATAGACATAGACTCGTCATGTCCGATGATTAGTTTTATGGGGTTTCCATCTTCTCATGGTTTAAGAAGCAGGGTTCCATGGTCATCAGTTCATGCTTGATGATTGTGTTAAACAAGCATCACAGACGTATACAATGACCCCCAAATCTGAACCTGGTATGCACATTGTGTGCAACGACCCTGAATAAGCGTCCGGGCGTACCCCAGATGGACAGGGAGTAGTTACTCCAAAAGAACCTTCAAACGGCGAGTGGATCTCCGATCTGATAAGGCGGCGCTGCGGAGACTAGTCTACTTCAGGTATGGATGATCGCCATGGAGATACCCTCTGATCAAAGTGGAATTACTCCAGCAGGGCATCAGGAATCAGTGTGTTCGAGATATTATTCACCAGTCCAAGTACAGTCTAGCGGCATAGCTGATACATGCGATCGTCATAGCATTACCTGATCGCATCGAGCATCGCACGATCATTCGCTCTGCTAACTCCGAGGCTAATGAGCTTTTCTGAGCTTAATTCGCCGGTGTGCATATTCCCTCTCCATCTGAGCTTAGTAGCCACTTGATCATTTAGGCATCAGAATAAGCATACACTCAAATTCTATTAGAGTTGTATATCCCTCAATAACAGATCGTATGAGGTAAATGAAGAGTCTTCCCGCAGTGGAGATCAAGGTACCTGCGCTGCCGTGTCCTAGCCCTATCGAACCTGCTAGGGTTGGGATATACCTGCAGTATTGCGGAACCTTTCTCGTTTCTGCTCGGGAAGAGATGGCTGTTTAAATCTCTCACACTCATGCTTGAAGGATTATTTCTCCAAATCCACACCTAGAATAATGGCGTCTCAACCACAACTGTGCCTAACTTTGACCTTTCAAGGAAGGGAAATTCCTTTGACGACATTCGGGATATGTCTTTACTTCAAAAGCGGCTAAACTTAAATGTGCATCGAGAGACGTGAACAACTAGATTGTAACAAGGAAGTGCCAAAGACAAAGTGTATAACAGTGGCTATTACCGCTGCCGTAACGGGGACGAGAGGACACCGCCGATAAGTGCCGACTAGGGGCAAATGTTGACTATCACTCTTTAACAACATAGCCTAGTCAGTTCTCATTCTTTGTTATAAATACTACATATATATGGGGCTATCGAGTGCGATCTCTTCATGGTTATACACTCAGCATCGACAAAAGCAATATACCCAAAAATCAGCCCTGTCTCCTACCAGCCCCCTCGAACACGCAAATCTCATCTTAGACAGCGGAATTCAAGCCATGGAAATTGTATACCTCGGCAGTCGATTGCGTAGTGACAACTTCAGAGACTATCCGGTTGAGCTCCTGTTCCACCTCGAACAATGCCTCCGGTTACCGGTGAGAGAAGCCCTCGATTTGCAGGGGGTGCCCGACTTTTTCGAGATCATGAAAGATAATGCTGAGAAAGACCTTGAACATCCTTTTCCGTTGAACCGCACGCGGCCTATTGGTAATTATGAGGACATGGCATTGGCATACCGCAAAAGCATCTGTGACCTTGAAGTGCCGACGTGCCTCTTCGAGCCCACATGTTCTGGTGGTGTGGTCGACATGATAAAGAAGGGTGACGTTCAAGGACTCGAAAAACGGCTTCAAGAGGGCCTACTTCCCAATGCACTCAGTATAGCGGGGTTCTCATTGCTTTCTCTAGCGGTGGTACATATGCAAGTTAAGTGCGTTGAGCTACTGCTAAGGTATACTGCATCCCCCAGTCTGAATGGTTACTGGTTCGCTGCAGGGCCACTTGACTATATCATGCCCGCTCCTTTGAGTTACAGCTGTCGCGACCATAAAGCCATTATTCGAATGCTGGTCAATGCCGGAAGCTCCTTTAGCTATACCAATGTTCTCGACAGTATATTTCTGTATGATGACATCGATCTCCTGAAGAGGGTCCTGGATGGGCCCCCTGGTCTCTTTGCTAATTGGCCACGTAGTGGCTTTGAGTTCATATTCCATCGTCTGGCAAGGCATGGTAAGGGTTGTGATGAAATCATAGACTTGATTGACTCCAGGGAACCTGAGGCGGCTCGTCAGATAACTGCTATCGGCTATACCCCTCTACACTATGCAGTTAGAAACAAGAATGATGTTAACATGGTTAAAAAGTTGCTTCGCTTGCCCATTTACTTGTCGGCGCCGGATTACAACCAAATTTCAGCCCTCGCTTTGGCCGTCACCGAGAACCACGTGGAAGCCGTCAAAGCTATGATCGGCCACCCGGATATTAACTTGCTGCAGCTCCATGAAGTATGGGATTTCAAAACAACCCCACTGGGTCAAGCTATGGGGCAGCGCAATCAGACGCTTATGATTATGCTGCTTACTCATTCACGTATGTGTCTCACAAAAAGTGCCCGAGATGCGGCGCTTGTTCTGGCAAGGGAGCTGGGGCTTGATGATGATTTGATGGAGCAAATCAGTAGACTGCAAGCTTGATCCCAGAACCATGACTCCTGGTTGTATCGATGAATTGCAGGCCCATAATGAATCTTAGTCAAAAAAAAAAAAAAGTTGTTTTCTCGCTCAATATGGATATCGCATCTAATTAGTGGCTCCAGAATTTGTTTAATTGACTAGCTTTGTGTATCATTAATGCGAAGGAATATCCGGCCACTGCCAGGAAACTCAACCTATGTAGCACTTGTCTTCTGCTCGGGTAAGGTAGAAATGAAGAACACCAGCATTGCCATAGTATGCCCTGTAACCATTGGTAGCGGCAATGGTACTTGCATCCACGTAGCGGAAACGCCGCGTCGATCCTTGATCACCTGGGATGGCCAGGTTACCAGGAGCACCGTGGAATCTGATTTTGTGGACCTACCCATGGCTAGTTAGAATTGTTGAACGGCAGAAGGCAAGCACTGTTTGACCTTCTCGGCATCTTCATCGAAGTCCATGGTACTCAATAGAGGAAGGACGTCCTCCGCCAACGCTTGTGCAGGATGCCCCGTATCAATGACATGCATTTTCCATTCACCTTCCAAGGCATTGGGATCGACTGGCTCAAGCTCGTTGTAGACATGATCAACCTCCGCAGGGTCGAGCTGCTCCAGTGCGTTCGCAAGGCTGATATATTTGTCGGCCGCACTCCTGGTCCATGAATTATAAGGGTGGTGTGGAAGAGAGAGAGGTGCTAACATACCGTGCCATCGATTCCACTAAGGTCATAATGAAGGCCAGGAGGGAATGCAAGCATATTAGTCTTACCTTTGTACACATGAGGGGCCGGTGTTACTTATATAGTCGTGGAAGTAGTGTAGAGCTGGCGCCATGATCGTAAACTCTAACTCTATTAGACCTTCCATGGCCAAGTATCTCGGGGGCATGGGATCAGGAATCCGTTGTTGTGACCATGGTACAGCAAACATATCAATTCCGGGGCGCATGCGAAACAGAGCCTCTTGCGTAATTTGTGGCAAGCATGACATTGGAAAAGCTCATTCCAGAATTAGCTGGGTATTCTAACCTTCCTGCGAATATGAGCTCCGCAATCAAGGTCTTGGGGGTGGATATACGTGTCAACTGGTGAGGGGTCAATGTCTTCACAAGTTGAAGCATGGCTACCATTATGGGAGCAGATAGCTGACCCTAACAAGACCGTGTCTACAGATTAGCCTTTTCCAAAAGGAGTACAGAAGGAACAACAGGCAATCATTGCCTTATCAGTAGGGACTTGGAGGTGAAGGGCATGACGGAACTGGTAAGTCATCCTCGCCACCTTAATATGCAGCAGACCTTAGTACTGATAGGAATGTGAAGGTTTCCGATCTGGCGGAGATGGTCAAAGATGTTGTCTGGATAGGGTTGGAAGCATTCAATGGCCGACAGGGAATGAAACTCATTAGGCAATCTACGATTATAGATGAATCCTCCTATCCAAATATACTCAGAGAGAAAATGCGATGGTTCTATGTCAACAACATGTGAATTTCTAGGACCCACGAGCCTATTATATAGAGCAACCACCTCCGTGCTTCACTGTTACGCAACCTGGACAACCTTTGTCTTGAGAACGTTGTCCCGGTCTATATGCGGATGGCCTATACGCTCTGGGTCGTAAGGAAAAGTGGTTTGTGATTTAAGCACTGTCGCTTTGCATAGTCTAGTAGGCATATTTGTTAGGCTACAGATAAACCATCGAATATATTCGTCGCTCATTCTTGGGTGTACTGGGTACATCATGGAGGCAAGCTGTGGGTGTGGTTGGTAACATCTGCGTGATGTTGGGAGCTGACATTCATTACCAGATATGCAACTAATCCTTGAGAATCCCGGTATCATTCGGTTGAAACAACAGAGCAGGGAGAGTGAAATAGATGTTTCACCCAGAGATAGAGAAGGTTGGTTTTCGGAAAAAATCTTTCGAGGAAGGTCGTCCTTGGTCGCTCTTCATCCGTGCTGAGTCGCTGGGGGCACAAGCTCCCTTTTTTTTCACGGATGACTTAACGTACTATTTGACTTTATTGAGAATGAGAGAGATCTGGTCAGGTGTGGTGAGGATATAACGGATGAGGTGTCTGGATGAGTATATAAGATCAATGACGGCAGTGACAGCATTCTTGATAACGCAACTGTTTGGCCACGACAGCACCTAAAGCTGTATGTGCGATCAATCATAAGGTAGTTAAGAATGGCGCACAGAGAGTAATATGACTGGCATTAGTCTTGTTTGGAAATGCCACAAGTCCATATTATTCTACCCTAACGAAGCCTTCGGATTCCAGAGATAAGGATATCTTTCAAGTAAAACCCTCATTATGACAACAGCGCCAATGGCAAGTAACCTAGATCGACTAAGCAATGGTAAAGATGTACAGCTATAAAGTGATAGTATACAAAGGTTCAAGATGATCTGGATCGATCCAGATTAAATGAAGCAATGACTTAAAATTAGTAACAGGGGCCCCGCATCCCATGACGAGGCCACTAGTCCATATCGGGGCTAGTGGAGCATCCAACCTCCGGGATAATTTAATTGATTCATGGTTTGTTGCTCGATTTCCTGCCACTGCATTTTAATCCAGCTGAGATTAACATCCATGACTTGCAGGTGTTAAATACTTTTTCCCCCTTTCTTCCCCTGCAATGTTAACCTTCAATTAAACTCTCCCACCCTCATTCTTTCCTCCCTACCCCGTCATTCCTTTCCCTTTCTCCGAGTCTGACAATGACTTCTTCCCGCCGCAACGGGCAAGCTCTGCCATGTGAGCCCTGCCGCAAAGCCAAAATCCGCTGCGATAGTGCCACCCCAACATGCCAGAACTGTGTCCGTCGCGGTAAGGGAGACAGCTGCGTCTACACGCCCGTTCAGGCTTCTCGCACCTGGTACTCGGACAATGCTCCCTCACCCACCGCATCACCACGTCCCCAAACAGCCCAACCCCGCCCCGACTCCGCTGCTCTTCAGAGCCGAGCCTCATTCAACGCCGGCGACGACAAATTGTCTTTCGATTTCGCCACCAATAATTCGGCGACATTCAGCGACATTGGCGACCAATTCAAACGCTCTCTGGTCATCGATGCGCCCTCTGCGGCTCGGCCCGATACGAAGCAAATCCAGCTTGGCGCTCGGCTGCTCACTATGCTGTTCGAGCATTTCGCGTTATATGAGCGACTGTCTGAAACGGCGGTTGAGGTGTGGCCTGAGGGATGTGTTCTGGGTCATCGGCTGGTGAGCGGGATGTTTGAGGCGTTGGAGGATTTGCATGGGGCGCTGGCTGCGGATGCGAAGGACTTGCAGTCGAGTTTGCTTCGCTGGTCGCAGAAGATCTTTGATGATAGTGCCAAGCCGCTGGCTGTTCAGCCGACTATGTCGCCAGAGGACTATATCCGTCGAATTTCTGGACGATGGGAGGGTATTGGACTGGTGTTTACGATTGTTGGTCAGGGCGCTATGCTTGAGCGGGATTGGAGGTCTATCCGTTCCAGTGAGGCGAATGTGCCGAGGGATCAGAAGTCGCTCGCTGCTCAGGCAGTTAGTGCGAGCGATGCTTGTTTGCAGTTCTGCGATCTTTCTACGGCGGTTAATGATCCGTTGGGATGGCTACTTTTTCAGCATATCCATCTGCTAACGCTGGTGTGCGGTGAGAATGGTATGTTCTTCTCTGGTCTGTTCATTGGTATTTGGGGCTCTGCTAATTGGGATATAGATCCTCGGGCGTGGAGAAGACTGGCTGATCTGTCAACGACGGTCTTTACCCTCAGTCATAATGCACCTGAAGAGAAGCGCATTCCATTCTTCTTGCTTGAACTCCGCAAGCGACTAGTTGCCGGGGCTTACAGTATTGACAAGCAGCTGGCAACTTTCTTGGGAAGGCCTCCTCAGATTAGCTGGCGCTACTACGATGTGCAGTTTCCTCTGGACTTGAGTTACGAAGAGATTCTAGCGGAGCCAAAGGTCCGCGAGGCTGCCATCGGCCTGCTTGACAAGACTGGCTGGAATACCCAGGGGATCGTGGGACAGGCTGCTTGGATGCGCATCGCCCTTCTTATTGGATCTACGAGAGAACAGATTCTCGAGCTATCTTTGAGCCGACGTATCGAAGAGTTGCCGCGCAAAGTCCAGTAAGTGTGCCGCAGTTCACAAGTAACGATTGCAGAATTGCAGATCGGAGCTAATGTGCATCCTAGGGAGGTGTCGCAGCAATCTCACAAGACATGGAACGACTTGCCCGGCTTCCTCCGTTGGCGCCCGAGTGATCCGGACACCAACGATAGCAGCGTTCTCGTTCCATTGTACCTCAACTTCCTCTACAATGACTTCCTCCTCTACCGCGTTCTTGTGCGCCGGGCACAAAGTGGATCCGAGGGTCTAGTCAGTGTGTCACAGAACATTCTCGGCACGATCCTCGAGCTTATCGGCAAGGAAATCGGCTCCAGAACGGGAACTTACAATGTTGGATACAATGTGCGTGATGTTGCCCCTTCACTTCCTGCCCTGTTATACTTACATGTCCTTAGGCCGCATCTTTCGGTGTTCCCGCAGCCGGCGTTCTAGCACTCGAGCTGCTCTGCCAGGCCGAATCCCAATCCCAGCTTCCCGCCACCGTCTTCCGGCGATCGGAAGTTATCCAGAAACTAACCGTCTTCGCTTCGCACCTGCAGTATGTTGTCCGCCCGCATGATGGCATGTATGAGGTCTGTCAGCGCGCAAGAAGGGTCATTTCCAGTATTCTGGATCGTATCCTAACAGTCAATCCTCCCGCACTGCCTGCAACCCTGCCGCCCGATGTTCTGGCGACCAACTGGTTGAACGGAGAGATTGTTGTTCTGGACGACGGAACCGATCTTTTCCGCTGGATTGACGGCTCCTCTGATGCCTCGCGACGGGGGTCCTGGGCTTGATCAGCACACGCTATATGGTATGATGATTTATGACTGCCCCATGATGAGTAGAAGTATCCTTGTTGGGTACTTGCAAAGTATGATGATTGATGAAATACCCCATGCTTCGATAAAAGCATACGATGTCTATGTTGTTTTCGCTCTCTTTCACTGATGTTGTGGAATGCTTATTTTCTCCTTATATGTGGCTATCTCTTACCGGCCTATGAGTTGAACTATCTGCCTGCGTTCCTCTTGGATCTACCGTGTTTACCTAATGCTTTAATGAATACCGTTCGATTTTACTCTTTTGGTTATCTGACTACCACATGATGATGGAAAGTCAAGAAACCAGTAAGCAGAAGATAAGCCACCACAAGCGAGGGAACCAATCAATTCTTGACCGATAAGCCACCTGTTCACATGGAAGGATGTTATTCCCACTTTATAACATCACCCATGTCTCTTCTCGATAACTTTGCATTTATTGCTTGCTTATCACTCGCCTCACCCATCCTTTGTCAAACTAAGTACCCTGGTTTTCAAAACCAACCAACCAACCAACCCAATGACCTCCACCCCAGACACTGTCGAATACAAGGGAACTTGCCATTGTGGCCGGTTCCAATTCGAATTACATCGCTTCTACCCCTTGGAAGCAGTGCATGCATGTCATTGCACACTCTGTGCCAAGAAGGGGTACCTGTGGCTGTTCCCTGCTGAACAAGAATTTCAAGTTACACGGAGGGCTGGGGAGCTGGCTTGCTACGACTCTGGTAATGGGGGTCATGGAGAGCATATGGTAAGTCCCTTGCCAGGGCCTGGTAATATTGATTGAAGGTTCAAGTAGTGTCCACTATAGTTCTGTACGACTTGTGGAACGGGGATGATGGTTCGGGGGCATGAGAGTCCGTCGGGGGAGCTTGGTATGGGGGTAAATGTGAGTGACTTGATTAGTATGTGCCCAGGGGATGGTATTGATTGATTGACTGCTACTTGATGAAGGCGCGGGCGTTGGTGGGAGTTAATCCGTTCAAGCTAAGGGTTGAGAGGTGAGTTCGCCCTCAAACATGCCGTCTTTTAAAGGATATACCTGACTCATGCATGTAGTTATACGCCGGGCAACATACCGCATGATAAAACTCCTACGGAGCTCACTCACATTGACACTGACACCCCATCCGAGAAGATCTACACCGGTAGTTGCCACTGCACCGCAGTCCGCCTTTCTGTCCAAACCAAACCACTACCGGGGATTGAAGTGAAGGAGGATAACTGCAGTATTTGCCAGCGGGTATTGAACCCTTTACCTGTCATCGCATATCATAAGTAGTACTCTGTCCTGACTAATCTCTCAGAACGCAAATATCTGCATATATCCCCACCAATCACAGGTTACTCTCCACGGCGAAGAGAACTTGACAGAGTATCGCTTTGGAAGGGGATTCACAGGACACCAATTTTGCAAGATATGTGGTGTGCAAGTGAGTATGAAGTTGCATGGACCGCCCCAGTCGGTAGTGGATAATCTTCCGCTAGAGAAGCAGGAGATGGTGAAGCAGAAGTTGGCTATTGTGCCGATCCGAGTGGCGGTTTTGGATGGGTGGAGTGGGCAGATTTGAAAATTGAGAGAACGGATGAGGGGACAGAGGGGTATGTTGTTAGCTGATGGGGTAATAGTGGTGAGTACTGTGTATATATTGTAGGTAGTTATATGGTTATAATCATATTGTGAAATTGGATAGTTAGTTACAATGTTGTTGTTAGTCAGGGACTCCGCACGGACTTGCCGTCGATCCGATCGGCACCCTCCCTAATGGGCGGTGCCTGATTGGACTTGGACCCGTGACGTCCCTCGCCTGGATGGGATGGATGCCCCTCATCCTCCCTCTTTGTTTCTTTTGCCTTCTTTCCTCTCATTCACACACTCTCTCGCTCTGTCAGTCGTTATTGTTATCATTACTATACTCGTCATTAGTATCATTCTTCAAGGAATGCCCTCTGTCCCTACCGACGGCTTGTCCGTCACCCACCCTTCCTCCAGGTCCGGTCCGCCGCACCTCCGTCTGATCCACTACAATGACGTCTACCACGTGGAGTATGCTCCCCAATTCCTACAGAATAACTATCTACACCTCGCAACGACACTAACTGACAACCCTTCAGAGAAGGTTCTGCAGAACCCGTCGGCGGCGTGGCCCGATTTCAATCCGTCGTCAACTACTACCGCAACGACCCCTCCTTTTCCGAACAACCCAACGTCCTGACCTTCTTCTCCGGCGATGCCTACAACCCCAGTCTCGAAAGCACGGTCACGAAAGGGCGGCACATGGTGCCGTTTCTGAATAAGGCGGGGACAGATGTAGCCTGTGTTGGTGTATGTTAGAACTACATCCGCGCTGCACTGGGGGAAAGCTGACAGGGTCCTGGCAGAATCACGATCTCGATTTCGGTGTCGCTCAATTCCGCCATCTACGTTCACAATGTCGGTTTCCGTGGCTGCTGGCCAATGTTCTGGATCTGGATTTGGGAAAGGATGTGCCGATTGCGAATTGCGATAAGACATTGATGTTGACCTCGTCTAACGGGATCAAGGTCGGTGTCATTGGCTTAGGTGAGAGGGAATGGTATGTCCGATGGCCTGGTTTATGGTACACATGGGTGGGTAGGCTAACGCTGGGCAGGCTCGGAACGATCAATGCCCTCCCTCCGAACCTGGTCTATAAGTCGGCGTACAAGACAGCGCTGGAGCTGGTCCCGCGTCTGCGTGAACAAGGCGCCGAATTAATTGTGGCGGTCACCCACCAACGTGAACCGAATGACTATAAGCTGGCTCAGAAGCTTCCGCCGGGAATGATTGATATAATCTTGGGTGGCCACGATCATTTCTATGCCCATGCTGTCGTCAACGGCACGCATGTCCTCCGGTCGGGTACGGACTTCAAGCAACTTAGCTACATTGAGGCGTGGCGCAAGGAGGATGGTGAAGGATGGGACTTCAGTATCGTGCGCCGGGATATCGTTCGGTCAATTCCGGAGGACCCTGCAACGACGGCCATGGTGAATCGGTTGACGTCTAGCTTGGCGGCGAAGTTAGAAAAGCCGATCGGGTATACTTCGGTTGCACTGGATGGACGATTCTCAACAGTGCGTCAGAAGGAGTCAAATCTGGGGAACTTTGCGTGCGATCTCATGCGATTTTACTATGGGGCTGACTGCGCGATGATGGCTGGCGGGACTATACGTGGTGACCAAATTTACCCGCCAGGGATCCTGCGGCTGAAGGACATCCTCAACTGCTTCCCCTTTGAAGATCCGGTCGTATTATTGCGCATCAAGGGTCGTGCGCTCTTTGATGCCCTGGAGAATGGAGTGAGCCAACTTCCAGCGCTCGAAGGGCGGTTTACCCAGGTGTCGAACATTGCTTTTGGCTACAACCCCTCGGCCCCTTCGGGTTCCCGCATCAACTGGGCCCAAATTGGCGGAGAGCCAATTGACTTCGATGGGCAGTACACATTGGCAACCCGCGGATACATGGCTCGTGGAAAAGACGGGTTTGCGTCTCTGCTGGTGCAGTCAGAGGGCGGCGAAGTCGAAGAGATCGTAGATGAAGAGAGTGGCATCCTGATCAGCACACTACTCCGCCAGTATTTTCTGAGTTTGCGAGTGCTGGGTCGATGGCGCCGCTGGGGTCCCAGCATGACCCGACACTGGAGCAACGTGCATGATAGCCTCCATTGCAATGGATGGCTGAAACCGCCATCCCGCCAGCCGTCTCCCGAGTCAAACAAGGTGCCGTATCGGCCCCCGTTGTCGCGGTCGAAGAACTACTATTATGGTCGGTTCCCCGAGATTGTGGAAACCGAGGAGACGGAGAGCCGAGGTGTGGGCTTGAACGGGGAGGACGAGTCAATGGACTCGGACTCGGACACTGACCCCGACATCCTGACCTCTCCTCGTCCGACTACGAACTATGTAACTCTGCCAGCACGGTCCGCTACGGAAGAGGAACGGCGCCTGCGTCTGGCGCGCAAGGCTGTCCGGACATGGATGCATCGGACGGGGCTGCAGCCATCGCCAATTAATGACGCGGATGAAGTTGGAGAATTCACACCAACATGGACACCAGGTATCTCGCCGCGCTTGGAGCAGCGGATTGTGGTTGAAAATTAGATGATTTCGAGGAGGTTGGCGATCCATCATACCATCCCCTGGCTATGATATCATCCCCGCACCAGGCAACCGCCAATCTGTCCCCAGCTTATCCGGATCTCCGCACGTTTACCTCGAGTCCCGCCATTCTTCCCTCCTGCCCTTCCATCCCACCTCCCTCCTCTTCACAATGGCCACCCACGCCGATCGCATCAATCCTCTCCGCGCCCAAATCGCCCGCTTTCACGAAACCCGCACTCCCTTCCGCATATACCACGGCAGCACCAATTCCACCCGCAATGCCAGTCTCTCCCCGACCAATACCCTCAGTACCGCTCACCTTACCAATGTCCTCTCCGTTGATCATGCTGCCAAAACCATCCAAGTGGAGCCCAACGTCCCAATGGATGCTCTCCTGAATGCCACACTCGCCTATAACCTCGTCCCGCTGGTCGTCATGGAGTTTCCTGGCATCACCGCAGGCGGGGGGTTCTCCGGCACCTCCGGCGAGAGCAGTTCTTTCCGACACGGCTTCTTCGATGCCACAGTGACTCGCATTGAGATAATTCTTGGTAATGGGGAGATTCGTACGGCCTCCCGTACCGAAAATGCGGAGTTGTTCAATGCCGCAGCTTCCGCTTTCGGTACCATGGGCGTGATCACCATGCTGGAGATCCAATGTCGCGACGCTAAGTCGTTTGTCGAATTGTCCTATATTCCGGCTCGTAGCATAAGCGATGCGCGGCAGATATTCTATGAGAAGACCCAGGACCCCGATGTTGATTATCTGGACGGCATAGTCTTCGCCAAGGACCATGTAGTGGTATGCGCCGGGCGACTAAGCGATGGTTCTCTCTCGAAAGACGACAAGACACAGAGATATAAGATTCAACACTTCACCCGTCCCCACGATCCCTGGTTCTATCTTCATGCTCAACGCTCCGGGCGTGTAACGCCCCCATCCTCAGCCCCCGTAGAACCAACGACCGAGCTCGTGCCCCTCCCCGACTACCTCTTCCGCTACGACCGCGGTGCCTTCTGGACTGGCCGCTACGCTTACAAATACTTCATAACACCCTTCAACCGCATTACCCGCTACCTCCTCGACTACTTCATGCACACGCGCGTCATGTACCACGCCCTGCACGCTAGCGGCCACTCCAACCAATACATCATCCAAGACGTAGCTGTCCCATACTCCTCTGCAGAAACCTTCGTTACATGGCTCGACGAGCCAGAGAACTTCGGCGCATACCCCATCTGGCTCTGTCCGCTCAAAGTCACTGACAAGACAAGCACGAGCAATCCGCAAATCATCGGCCGCGGCAAACCCTCCCTTCTCTCTCCCTCATCTACCGAGAAGGAAGAAGATGAATACCTCCTCAATTTCGGGCTCTGGGCGCCCTCCCCCTACCGCGGCGCCCAGTTCATCGCCCAAAACCGCCGTCTCGAGCACAAAGTCCGCGACCTGGGCGGCAAGAAATGGCTGTACGCGTGCGCATATTACACGGAGGACGAGTTCTGGGATATATACGACAAGAAGCGGTATGATGCCCTCCGGGAGAAGTATCATGCCGGCTACCTGAAGACTCTGTATGAGAAGGTGAGAGTGGATCTGAATCCTTCTGCTACGGAGAAGGAAAGGCAAGCTGGGATGGGATGGGGCCAGTGGGTTGGGAATGTGATGTGGAATGTATGGCCGGTGAGTGGGTTGTATGGAGTGTATCGGGCGTGGTGGGGAGGTGAGTATTTGTTGAAGAAGGGGAAATAGATGTTGGTGCTATATAGGTAGGTGGATGTAGTTGTTTTGGATTAGTGGAAGTATAGACTCTTGGATATATTCAGAGAGATAGAGGAGATATATGGAATATCACACTTGTGAAGTAGATTTTGGTGTACTATGAAATAAGCGTAGCAGTAGAGATAAGCACTTGTAATACAGGTTCTTCCACAGAGAGTTTTGATTATATCGCACTGCGGTAGATCAATCAGTCTTCAGCCATATGGTGTCTACTACTACTTACTGCCTGCCCAATTTGTATCAGTATCTCTTACTCTGAGTCCTATACATATGCAGACAGAGCTGGAGTGATAACCTTATCTAGGCTGGTAATTCCTATACTAAATAGTAGTTGATTCCATCATCAATCATATTTGATGCACTATTCCTGCATGCAAGTCATAATACATCACATACATAGCTAGTAGTAAATATTGAATCATCATAGTCATCATCAGGGACACGGTACATCCACTATTCCCCAACACCGTATCCAAAGGGCTTATTCCCAACAGTTCAATGAAAAGATCCCAATCACCTTTTCATCCACTAACGCTCTAACACACCAGGGCTTTTCTATCCCTCTCATCGCTAATGCTGCCGTCTCAACTCCTTCCGGAAATTTTCCTCCTGCTTGACGACCTCTAACGGCAACGTCCACCCGACTCCAAACAAGACGAACGGCGCCCACTTCCATCGGAACGGGTTAACCAGGATACAAAACACGAACCAATACAAGAGCTCAGTGTACGTGAAGAAATCGAACGCGCCGACAGGCGACAGCTTTTTCATGAATCGGGTGAAGTCGATCCAGGTTCTCATGCGACCTTCCGTCGGACGGGACAGCGGGTCCGTCAAGAACATCAGGAGAAACCTGGTGTAGATGCCAATGTGCATGTTACCGACGGTGCCGATGGCGTTGACGTAGGTGCTGTTGTTGGCGCAGATGCTGGGGTATTTGGGCGGGAAGACTTGGAGGTACCAGCTTGGAGGGGAGTAGGGTTCTTCGAAGGCGTCGTTGGGAAGGAAGGAGAGGGAGGGGCGTTTGAAGCCTGTGGCTAGGATGATTACGTCGCCGGGGACGAGGTCCTCGTGGCCGGGTCCGCCTTTCGGCACGCCATTGCTGCGGAAGTTGAAGCGCACGCCGTCCTCTTCGAGGGTGACGATGTCGCCGCGGAGCCAGCGGGCTTTGCCGTCGCGGATTTGTTCGAAGAGTTCGGAGTTGGCCATCGGGGTTTGGGTGAAGAGGCCGCCCGAGGGGGCGATGTCGGAGAGGTCTCGGTAGAAAAATTTGCGGAGGAGGGATTCGGGGATCCATGAGAGGGAGGTTTCTTGTCCGAGGATGTTCATGGCTAGGAGGGACTGGACAAAGACGTTTCGGGGAATGATCCATTTGTCGGAGCGGGAGAGCACGTCGATTTGGGCGGCTTTGGACTTCACGGCGAACTCGAGGGCCTCGATGGCGCTGGCACCGCCGCCGACAATGAGGACCCTTTTGCCTTCGACTTGTTTCCCGTCGAGTTCGGAGGAGTGGTAGATTTCGCCCTTGAAGCGTTCCTGATCTGGCATTGTCGGCATTTTCGGGTCACCGCAGACGCCAACGGACGCGATGATACCGTCGAAGCGGCCGTATTTTTCTTCCTCATTGTTGATAATCCATCGGCCGTTCTTGGTTTGTTTGACGGAAGTCACTGGAGTGTTGAACGTGGTGTGTTTCTGCAGGCCATATCGCTTCCAGAGGTCGACGATCTGTTCTTTGATCTCTCCTTGGGTGGGATAGGCTGTGTCGTACTGCACTGATGGGTGGAAGCGGTACATGATGCTGTGGATCTGCAGGGAGGAGGTAGAGTTCACTCGCTGTGTGTAATTAGTAAGGGCATCCAAAAGAGGCTTTATTATGACCATGACTTACACTCCAGATACCTCCCAGCCCCTTGTCTTTTGATCTCGCTTCAAAGATCTCCACATCGAAGCCATGGCCTACACAATGTGCGGCTGCGGATACTCCAGTGAGACCGGCTCCAATTACAGCCACTCGCTTTTTCGGGACGCCATTGGCAATCGAGGATGGCTTTGGGGGATTAGGTGCAAAGATCCAGTTGAGCAGGTTCTGGAAGAGCATGTAGCATATGGTGAAAGACTGGAGGAGGGGGTTGCGGATAAAGGCCGACAAGGAGAAGGCGGACTCTGATTCCGCCATGGTGGCGATTGGCTGAGCGAGTGGGATTAGTGCAAAGATACTGTAGTCAATGGATGTATAAGTCACTGTAAGAACAAAAGAATGGGACGTTTATGGTAGAAGAACAGGAACGGGGAGGGGTGCTTTTCTAGGGCAGCGGAAACCGGACGGAAGCGATAATGATGATGATGGCAATGACGTAGAGGGTGGATCGGAGCATGTGAAGGCGGGCCAGAGCCAATTCCATGTTTCATTCATCACGACCCTGAACGGCCTGCATTGGAGGTATTTCCAGCGAGTCAATAACAATCACGTTCTTAGATATTTGCCATTGCTTGGGTTGAGAGGCGCGCTGATCAATGGGTCGCACGAGTCCTACTGGGTATCTGACTTGTTTTCATGCCGGCTGGCATCCGCATGGGGAGGACCAGACCCCTTCGTTTCGTCCTCCCAAATCAAGACAAGATAGATAGATTCTGGTGCTCCTCAAGGCATATAATAATGCATGGGCTCCGAGCAGCGGATCCAGCCACCATCACATGAAAGGTTATGCCGTTCTGCGCTGCTGTGCCCTGGCAGTCCATCTGGGTATTTCCGAGCCGCAGCTTCAAGCCAGTCGGAAAATATCATGCGTAACACCATCCCCATCTCCATGTGCGACATAAGTGAGCTATGGTAGTCAGTTCTGACGTCTGGCGCCTGATTAAACTCCTGCGAGTGTAGTTCTTCGGTGCTTGTTGCATTGCCTATGCATCCTTGATCGCGGTCGCATGAGAGTCTCGGAGCAACTGGGGATCTTTGTACATTCAGTAGCTATTCCGTTGCAGGAAATCTCAGTCCCAATCACATTCCAGATCCCAGTAAATGATTGAAGGCAGGTGAGTGGTGGATGCACTCTGAGCTTCACGGTGCTGGCGCCGAACGGACTAGTCTGCCCATCCATAACAATAGCTTGTCTATAGTGCATATTGTTAACGTTTCCTGGGAAATACTTGTCTATAGTAGCCCAATTGGCATTATTGCAAGCCGTAGAAATCAATTCTTCCTCAAGCATCCGAGGATGAAGTTGAAGGGAAGAGAGAGAATGACCCCAACAGGCGCAGGCACGGGAATTACCCGATTTGGCCTAGCGGGTGGTGGGAGCTCCCAGACTTCGGCTTCATCCAATTCCACGATTGTTGCCTTTCCTTCAACAATCCTCCACCCATTTAATCTCCTCATCTCTCTCGCTCAACGCGCCAGACGTCCGCCCTGTTGTTCCGCAGGGACTCGGTACGCCTTCAGCATCCCACCATGTGCGCCAATCATTGACCGCTCTGCCCGACTCCCCGCAATTCGTGACGGACAGCCTTCGATAGCTTTCATCCCTCCATACCTCCACCGAAAATGGCGACGCCGACTTTGGACCGTTTCTTCGCCAGTATCGCTGACCTGGTCAAGGCTCGGGATGGACGTCAACTTCAAGATTATTTACAGCTCGAGCCTCCCCTGCCCGATATTTACCGACAAATGGTGGAGGAATTGCGGCAACATTATCCGGTCGGTCCTAAAGAGGCAGAGCTATTGCGACGATGCGAAACCCTCGTTCCGAAAACAAAAGGCGCCCCGTGGACTGCCTTCCCTACCTTTATGAAGCTTTACTTTACCTTTCTGCGCGATGTCAACCTGGACAATCTTCTCGAAACATACGACCTTCTCAAGGGGCTGTTGAAGTAGGTATCACACAACTAGTTGCTGGCACTATTGCTGACCCGCGACTGTACCATTCAGCCAATGTGTGCTGGCATTAGGTGACAGTCAAATGGGTGTCATAGTCCTCCCCACCGTTCTGTACCTCTCGAAAGTCCTCGCAAAGCTGGCCATGGGCCTCGACCGACGTCCAGACTTAATTGCCCACCTGCTGCGACTCGAAGGCCGGTCGAATCAAGAAGAAGCTACGGAAAAGGTGACGCTAGTGGAGAAATCTGCGAATGTCGTCCGAGAAGCATTCATTAAATGTTTAACGGACAGAAGTGGCACGCCAGGTATCCACGGAAAGCCAGAAGGGAAGAGGATAGGGATCTATTTGATGGCAAACCTTTGCCTCAAGCTGCTCTTCCAGGTATGACTGAATATCCTTCAGTGTGATAATCGGACTAACACGGGCCAGTGCGGCAAACTCCGAAACGCAGAGCAAATGTTTGCGAGTATCAGCGCACAATCCCCTCCTCTGAAACACTTCCCAGCTTCGCAGCGCGTCACCTATCTATACTACCTCGGACGTTACCTGTTCTCCAACAACCTCTTCTACCCCGCCCAGATCGCCCTGCAAGCTTCTTACGATCAATGCCACCGCCAGGCGACAAATCAAAAACGGGTCATCCTAATCTACCTCATTCCTTGTAACATAATCCTAGGGCGCTTCCCCTCATTACAGTTATTGCAACGTCCTGAGGCCGAAGGGCTGGTAGACAAATTCGTTCCTATTTGTCGGTTGATTTCCCGGGGCGATTATATAGCGTTCCGCGAGCATCTTGCAATTGGCTCCCCCGAAACAGAATGGTTCGCTCGGAAAGGCATCCTTCTTGCCCTACGCAATCGATGCGAAATCCTCGTCTGGCGGTCACTTGCACGAAAGGTCTTTATCCACGCCGGTTTCCACGGCGATCCTTCACTTGGTCCTTCTCAACGTGGACCGCCACCATACCTCTATCTCAACAAGTTGGACGCGGCCGTCCGTTGGATTCAGTCTCAGCATGCCCAGTCGGCCCAAAGCTCAATAGGATTCTTCGCCTCCAAACCCGAACCAGATTCCCAGGCGGGTCAGAATCTGTTCGGGTCCCAGATCATACACAAAGCAACAGATTGGGATTTCGAGGGGCTCGGCGACTTGGACGCACAAGAGGCAGTCGCAAGTCCAGGCCTTATTGAGAAATATGGAGACTATCTGGCACCGGACGGATATTTCGATGCGCAGGGGCAGTGGCAGATGAACCCACCGGGCAGTCTTGTTGATGGACAGCCCTCTATAGATTACCAGCAATATGAGCTTGACCCGTACGCGAGTCGAGCCGACGGCGAGCAGGACTCAGGCAAACCTACTCTCATGATGCGCGAGCTTGAGTCCATCCTGGCCTCCCTCCTCACCCAGGGTCTGATGCGTGGATTCCTGACTCACAAGAATCCTCGTCTGGCGATTCCCGGTGCGCGTCTCCGCGGTGCCATACCGACTGGCTTTCCCAATGTTTGGCAGACAATCCTGGCTCGGGAACAAGAAGACGACAACGTTCCGGGATGGGTCCAACCGCCAGCGGTGGCACCACCTCCGACAGCCGGAGGTGGACGCGTTGTGAATCTGTCCGGAGCGAGACCTGTCGGAGTACAGTAACGACATTAGCTACCCATGTGAAGGCACAGCCCAATGGAGGATCTTTTGTACATAGCAACGAATACCATGACACACAAAACAAATATGTGAATGATAAGCCAGCATCTGGTACCTGATGTGCCTGAACGATGGAACATCCGCATCAAGTCAATCAGACCGATTGGGCGGTCGAGATATCTGCTTTGGGGGTTGATCGACCGCCAAGCTCGGAATCGGGCCCGAGATCTCGGTCATAATTCAAGAGCCGAGGACTAACTCCGACCCTCCCGGCTTTTGTGGATATCTGGCTCAGATTAATGATTCTGGACTCCAAGCTTGTGGAGCAGGGTTCCTCGACCGTGGCCTTACAGTCCCCAAATGGCATGGCGGCGGGTGTGGCAGAATTCTGAAGGATTGCTGAAGAATTCCAGAACAAATGGCGAGCGCTTATCCAAGAAATGACCGAGGTAGGTTCAAGATAAGCTTATTTGGGCCTGCAGGACTAACATCAAGTCCAGTTCACGGCTTCTGATTCTTATTATAATTCTCAATGTAGTTTTCGGAAGGCTCATACTGGACGCAACCTGATACGTTGGTCCGATAGAAATTGGTATAGCTCTGAGGCTCGGTCCGATTTAAACAGGCATAGCAAGGTCACAACAGGCTTCGATCCCCGGGTGGATGACGACGCCGCCCTCGGTGCAAACAGTCCCTCCTTATAGAATCTCGGACTTGCAATTATGAGCTTGCGTATACCTTGAAGGCCTTCTCTATAAAAAGGGAACCTCTCCCAGTTCCTTTGCCACTTCATCACACTTTCGGAACAATAATCCACAGCATTCACTCTTTTCTCTTCATCATCTAGCTGCACGATCTTCCTCATGCGCGCTGTTTCAACTTTGGCCGGCCTGGCTGCCGCTGTGCCCCTGGCTGCGTCTGCAGCCATTCAGACAAGATCAGCCGGCTCTGACCTTCCTGTTGTGAACACCACTCTGGGATATGTGCGGGGCACATACTCCCCCTTCCGTGGTGGTGACACCGCCGTTGTCTACAAAGGTATTCCGTTCGCCGCTGCCCCGACTGGTGAAAACCGCTGGAAGGAGCCTCAGTCACCCCAGTCCTGGTCTGGCGTCCTTAATGCAACAGAATTCGGCCCTCAATGCGCCCAGTCATACAGCAGTGCGGGCATCTTCAGTAGCGGAAAGAAAAGCACTAGCGAAGACTGCCTTTATCTGAACATCTGGACCCCTAACTACAACGACACCTCTGACATCACCTCCAAGAACCTGCCGGTGTATTTTTGGATCTATGGCGGTCGCTTTGAGGGTGGTTCTGGTGACGTCCTGACCTACGATGGCACCGGTCTCGCTGCCAAAGACATCATCGTTGTCACCATCAACTATCGGTTGGGCCCCTTCGGCTACCTCGCCCACCCCGAACTGTCCGCCGAATCCGGTCACAATAGCTCTGGTAACTACGGTATACTCGACCAGCAAGCCGCTCTGCGCTGGGTTCACGAGAACATCGCCAACTTCGGTGGCAATGCCAGCCAGATTACTGTTGGCGGTCAGTCTGCCGGCTCGGCCAGCGCCTTGGATAGCATGTGGAGCCCGCTGACCAAGGGTCTCGTTGCCGGTGTCATCTCTGAGAGCGGTGCTCGCGGTCCTCATGACCCCATGACCGGCAGTGCTGCCACCAGCCACCGCACCAAGGTGGCCGCCGAAGCCCAGGGTGTCGAGTTCCTCAAGGAGCTGAACGTCACCTCCATTCAAGAACTGCGCACCTCCGTCTCCATGGAGACCCTGCTCGAATACGACTCTCTCAGCGATACCATCTTCGAAGGTACCCAGTTCGCCAACGCTTCCGCCTTCTTCATGGAACCCCCCATGTGGCGTCCCAACATCGACGGCTACGTCTTCCCCTACGACTACACCCAGTCCCTCCTTCTCAATGCCCACGCAGACGTGCCCATCCTCACCGGAAACAACAAGGACGAGTCCGGCGCCGAGACTGACCCCGGTCTCACTGACTCCACCTACAATACCCTCTACAACGAGGTCTTCCAGAACTTCTCGGAAGAATTCTTCAAGCTCTACCCCGGCGGTTCCACCTCCCAGGCCAACAACAACTCGAACGCCCTCTACCGCGACATGAGCCGTATTGGCACCTGGCAATGGGCTCTCGACTGGGCCAAGGGCGGTGCCAAGAGCCCTGTCTACACCTACTACTTCACTCGCTCCCCGGCTGAGAACCGCGACCAGGGCGCCTACCACGGCTCTGAACTCTGGTACACCTTCAACAACATCCCTTACTCCGACTACTCCAATGTCACTTGGTACCCCTATGACTATGTGGTTGAGGAGTACATGTCCAACTACTGGGCTAATTTCATCCGTACTGGTAACCCGAACGGCGATGGACTCCCTCATTTCCCGCCCAGCACCGAGTCCAAGCAGACTATGTGGTTGGGTGACTCTTGGGGTGCCGGCCCTATTTCCGATAGCGAGGAGCGTATCGAATTCATCAAGAGCTGGTTTGCTACCATGCCTGAGTGGTAGACGGCTGGGTGTATCCTATCACCCTCTGTACAGAATCGTCTGTTCACGTTCCCGTTTGTCATCGTGCCTGAGGCATGCGATGTATTATAAATATTTTCCAAGTTCTTACACTCGTTTGCTAGTGTATATAGCTATTACTTAGCTCACTGGTACCTTACTTTGTTGTATGTATACTTATAAATAGTGGCATCGTATATCACGTTATCCTTCTATCATTTAGCCATGCTGTTCCTGCGCTTATATATAGTAAAGATTTCAGTGCTGATTCCAAAATATTTTGTACTTGACACGTCTACTGAGTAGAAGACCCAACTTAATCATATCGAATTAGAGGAGATAGGACATCTGGTCATGTTGAGCAAATACACGTTGCCGATGTGCTATGCCATACAAACTGCTTATTAGATGCTGATGTGATTGAAATGCCAAGATAGAAAAAAGAAAAAAAAAAAAAAAAAATAGGAAAGGAGATGCGGTAGATCAGATTGAACAAAAACATCGCCAATTCGACTTAGGACCCAAAGCTAGACATACCAGGGTATCAAGATCATCTTCAGAGGTAAGACCTTCATATAAACGAGAACTGAAGTGTAGAACGAAATTCGAAAATGAGAGAATAGCTAGACTCCGCGAACAAACCGCGCAGCTGCCTCTATCATCTCCTCCTGCTCCTCCTGCCACCCAAGGATTTGTCCCATCATATAAATATCATGCGGCAATCCAGGCATCTCCAGATATTCGACATTATTGCCCGGAACAGCACGCATTGCATCCGCAAACCCCCTGACACTATCACACAGCATCTCCGCACCTCCAACCTGCGCGAAGATCGGAACAGGCGTTGCAAAGGGATGCAGCGCCGGTGACAGGTACGGATCATCCAGACGCACTGACTCCGGCGGGGCAAACGCACGCGCACCCCACGCGGCCATCTCCCCATCACAGTAGTCAGTCCGCTGATTCCGGTGGGCGCTAACAGCCTGCGAGTCACCCTCGAAGCTGTACTCAACCGAGGGTGAGAACAGAAGGCACGCCCGAGGCGGTGGCAGCTCTGCAAGCTCATGGCCGCTCTCCTGTTGGAATGAGGCGAGGTGGCGCAATAGAGCCATTACCATAGTAGCTCCGGATGAGTCGCCAACGAGCACGATGCGGGACGGCGAGATGTTCAGTTCTCGGACGAGATAGAGATATGAGGTCATGGCGTCTTGCATGGGCCCCGGGTATGGGGTTGGATTGTTACCACCTGCTAGCCGGTACTGCACCCACAGCGAACGGGTACCGGTACCCAGCTTCTCGTTGAGTAGGTCGGCTGTGAAGCCGGAGTCATCGGGCCTGCCAGTTAGCCAGAGAAATGCGCTGCCGTGAAATGATAGGATGACTAGGCTCTTCTCGTCATCTGTTTCTTGCTCTTGATCATCATCCTTGATGTCGATGATAGGTGGCAAGGTCTTAGGTGGAGGAGAGGGATACCATGTCCCGCCGATGGTTTCAGGTTTGATAGTGTCGCTTGTGAAAGCACCGCGATACGAGTCTTCCGGAGCTGGGTTCATGAGGACCCATCGGTCGCCCAGCTTGCCTGACTCCAGGCTCAGGGACTGCGCGTAGCCGAGTTCGCGGATGATGGTCATGACTAGCTTTGTGAGACGGGTGGTAAATGCTTGGCGATATGTCCATGTCGGACTCTGTCTGAAAGAGGGTATCATGTAGTAAATGCCAAGGAGTAGAGATACTAGTGAGACTCGGATGATTGATATAAGCAGCCAGATGGTCCAGCCTGGTTGGCGAGTCCGCCAGCCGTTGGGGATAGCGTCGTCCTCGGCCAGCGTGCGCGCCATTGTCGACGCTTTTTTTTTTCTTTTTAGAAGTGTTGCCTGATAATAAGCGGTTCGTACCTCGATGGGAGATGACAGAGGTGGCTTGTCTGGTAATATAAGATGGGGCAGCCTCGCTGAGATGACCCGCTCTAGGCAACCCGCGCGGCAATCTGGAACAGGCCTGATTGGCTGCCGTTGCTGCGTGGAGCACGACTTCGATATTGTCCAATCGGAGCCCAGCCGAGCAAACTTTGAGGCCTCAGGCAATAACCCCGGTTAGGTCGCATAGTTATACTCTTTCTCTGTTTGGATTCCCTGTATCTCTTTTTGTGTCATCTAGTATTATTCTTTTCTATTTTCATATGTTTGTAGATACTCTACCTGTCCAATTCAGTCTTGTCTGCTACTCATATATCTCCTATTCATCATGGAACAATACTGTCACAAATATATACTTATACTATTCGGCTCATTAACTTTTTGTACTCTCAAGTTAAATTTGATTGACAAGTGGACGGCCTCTGCTTTCTATGGCTGCAGTGTAAAATCATGGTCATGCCGACCTTTCAGATAGTCATAGTTCTCATCCACCCACTCAACGCACGGTACCAAATGGCCCCAGTCCACCTTCCCTTGTAAGCTCCGAGGTAGTATGACCTTCAAGTCTGAACGGTACCACGCCGGAAAATGAATCGTCACGAGCATAACACGCGGGTCATCTGTGCGGTTCGGCATGCCTGCATGCCACAGACGGAAGTCCCGAATAATGATAGCTCCCTTTGGTAGAGATGGCTGCACTGGGGGAGAAATCTTGCGGCGAGCCTCAACGACCTCCGGGATCACCCCCGTGTCGTCACTGTCTCGAGGATCGGCGTCCCGGTGGCTACCAGGCCAGAGCTCGGTGGCTCCATTCTCCGGGGAGGTTGCCACCAGATTTACATTGATACACAGTCCAAAAGGGATCTTGGGAAAGTCAAAGTGCACGTCGACATGCACCGGTTGCCGGTCCTCGGCTTTGAAGGCCGTGTTGGCGCTATAGAAACGTAGGTGTGGGTTTGGCCCCAGCATGCATTCGGTGATAGCAGTTGCCCAGGGGTTTGCAATGACATCCTCAAACATGTAGTTCGGGTCGACGACTGGCTCTTGCTGGATATTTCCTGTGCGGGAGCCAAAATTGCGGTGGGTTTGCGGGTTGGCATATAGAGTCTTGGCCTCAGGGACCATGCGCTCGTTCAATTTGTCGAGATGGGCAGGGTCAACGCCGTTGGTGATAACACAAACGCCATCTCGATGAAGGCCTTCAAGAGCCGCTTGGAGGTTATGAGAAGAGAGCTTCTTGGTAGCGCGTTCCTCGTCCGAAAGTGTAATCTGAACCAGCTGCAAGGTTACCATGGTGGCGTTTTCAGTTGGAATCGTAGTAAGGAAACTGAGAAAAAGATCGGTGATCAGACTATAACATTTACTGCAATGCTTCCAGAAGCGAGAGGGGTCACCTATATAGTTTGCAGAGCAAAGATACATTTGGATGAGCGCACTGATAAGCAACTCCTCCCGACTAAAGTGATACGCCTTCCCAGTTGGGAATGGCCGGTGGTGGCGGCAGGTGACCCAACCAATCGCTGGCCTGAGGTTTACCGTCGGCTGCTTGGACCTTCCTCTCTTCCTTCATCCTTCTTCATCCTGATAGTCAGGAGGACTCCAGTTGGCACTTGACTCATTATCTGCCGTGCTGCTGCTCCTCACAGTGTCTTGGACCCTGCAGGTCTGTGAAGTCAAGATATAGCAAACCGATAAACAGAGGCAAGACTCAACTATAAAGTAGGGGCTTGCGTCCAGAAGGTGTGTGATTGACTTTCTAAGCGAAATATTTCCCTTTGCTCCTTTTGTTGTATCATTGAATCTAATCCGTCATGTCTTTAGAGGGAAATAGAAAGAAGTCGGGGGTTCCGGATGAAATAGTCAAGCAATTACCTAGTAATGTTGAAGAGACTGGGGCTGAACGAACCAATGATGCAGAAAAATCCCTGGCCCATACCAGATTCGAGCACAGTCTCGGGTTCTGGAAGGCGTGCCAGTTCTACCGTCCAGCCCTGCTATGGTCATGTTTCGTCAATCTAGCAGTCATTCTGTGTGGCTTTGATGGCGCCTTGATTGGAAGTCTAGTGGGGCTGACCCCGTTTGTTCGCACATATGGCAGATTGGTGGACGGGCAATATGCGGTTGCTCCCTCCTGGCTGTCTGCCTTCAACTATGCATCATACGTGGGCAGTGTGCCTGGCTCGCTGGTGGCAGGCATTGCCTACGACAAATACGGCCCGCGCATGACCCTCGCTGCAGCTTCAATCGGCTCGATCGGGTCCATCTTCTTTCAATTTTTCAGCGAAGGCCCAGCTCTTCTCTTCGTTGGCGAGCTGCTTAACGGATTTATTACAGGTGTCTACCCTGTCCTCGCCAATGCCTATGTTAGTGAAGTTGCTCCTGTTGCTGCTCGCGGTGTCCTCGCTGCCGTCATAAACCTGTCCTATGTCATTGGTCAACTTGTGGCATCGGGACTACTCAAGGGGACCAGCACGATGGATAGCAACTGGGCTTATAAGATCCCGTTCGCCTCACAATGGGCTCTGCCTGTCTTCATCATTTCGCTCATATACTTCTGTCCAACTCCTCCTTACTGGCTCTGCAAGAAGGCTCGACCTGAGCAAGCGCGGAAATCTATCCAGCGTTTGACGACATCTGAAGTTGATGCGGACGCATACCTCGCTCATATCCAAGAGACTCTCCGCTTAGAAGAGAGCTCCAGGGCCAAGGCCAGCATTCTTGACTGCTTTCGCGGTACAAATCTACGGCGCACTATTATTTCCTGTCAGGCTTTCAATATTCAAGCCCTCTGTGGTAATATCCTGTTCATCAACTATGCGGTTTACTTCTTTGAGACTGCTGGTCTAAATACGTCGGACGCTTTCTCAATGAATGTGGGCCTGACATGCATGGGCTTCGTTGGGACACTGGCCTCCTACATTCTCATCTCATACGCCGGTCGGCGCACCATCTACCTGTGGGGCTCTACCGTGATTGCCTTGCTCCTACTTCTTGTCGGGATTCTGGCTGTCGTGCCCCAACACAATTCAGGGCCTGCGTGGGCTATGTCCGCCCTTATGGTGATATGCAACCTCGTCTACGACATGTCCGTGGGACCACTGTGCTTCACCGTCATGTCCGAGGTGTCTGCCGTTAATCTGAGAGGTGTCACTATAGCCCTGTCCAACGTCACTGTGGTGATATGGTCTGTAATATTTGCTGTCGCCATTCCCTATGCAATGGACACTACTGGTGCCAACTGGGGCGGCAAGTTGGGATTCCTATTCGCTGGCATCGGTGTTTTGGATACACTCTGGTGCTACTTCTTCCTGCCGGAGACTAAAGGTCGAACATTTGAGGAGCTGGATTTCATGTTCCAGCAGAAGCTACCCACGCGTCAATTTAGCAAGTACCAGTTTACAGAGACACAGCAAGTAGCACGAGAGGCATAGCTTATTGTCTAATAGAAGCTAAGAAGATACAATCAAAAGGCAAGCCTCTGAGATATGTGGATATTAGGTTTTAGTGAGAAGGTGGAAAGGCTATTTTACTTTTGGTTCTGTGGTTAAATGGCCAGCTTTAGTGAAGTACTTATAGTTGAATTAATTCTTCTAGCTTTCCTCAGTGACCTTGGTCTAATTTCTTCCTCGAACTCGTCGACTTCAGGTAAAGAAGCAGCAGCTATCTTGATCCAAGTGCTACACAAGCGCCCCGTATGCCGCGCGGTTAGAAACGAGCTTCATTTACCTGTTTCTTTTTTAGATTTCCATTTCATCCAACGGTGTGGCATATCGTGTAGAGAATGAGAGCTCGGCACAGCTAGAGCACGGGAGCTTGTCTGTCTGTCAACAGTCAGGATGTGAAATAGGACTACCACTGACCATCAGCCAAGTCTAAATATATGGAATAATAAACGCCTACTGCTTGCTGTTAGCTACGCGTCTAACTGACGCCTCTACTACATAAAGGAAGAAAAAGGAGAGTGAACATTAAAAGGGTAATGGTTGCAGATGACCAGTCGTTTAGACATACTGTGCTCGATGATAACTGTCGATGGAATTCAAATTGACCTTAGCAGCCCTCCATCTGTGTGCTTTAGACCCCTGGGTCTATCGATGAGCAACCTGCTTATTCCACTAACAAAGAAGGTGGGTGATTACGGTAGTAACTGTTGCCTTGTTCTATTAGAAGCAGCTTTAGGAGTGTTGCTGTAGCTTTTGGCTTATTTGATGCTAACTTTCCCGCTCATTCAACAAGCGGGTCCCATAGCTCAGTTGGTTAGAGCGTGACGCTAATAACGTCAAAGTCGAGGGTTCGAGCCCCTCTGGGACCATCTTTTTGCTTTTTTACCTACCCCTCTCCTTATTCATCTTATTCTATCAATTGTCATGCTCGTTGGATCCAGTCAAGAATTTACTTGACCTTTCTGGCGTACCTGCGTAATGCGAAGCCGAGTCATACTAGTAGTGTGTTGCCTGTCTAGGTAAGTCCATATATAGTCGGCGGTATTTACACGTCGTACCCGCGATCGACATCATTCGATCTCTACGCACCGTCAAGGGATATACATATATAATTAACCATTGTCATCACGGGAATACCAGAAGAGTGCTCTGAGAGTATCTAGTTCCTTGTTGATGTATGGATAGATCAATGGGACTTGGGAATGGACTTTTTTGTAAACGCCCAATTGGACCGGCAGGTCGTACATGAGATGGTAATATGAGTCGTCATACGATGCTGCAATGACCACAAACATGGTTTAGAAAGCATAGCTTGAAGATTCTATTTATTAGAGGGGTGAGTGAGAAAGAAAAAAAAATACTTATACAAAAAATACAAAAGTGAGATGGTCCCAGAGGGGCTCGAACCCTCGACTTTGACGTTATTAGCGTCACGCTCTAACCAACTGAGCTATGGGACCCGCTTGTTGAAAATGTTCTTTTAATTTGGTTATACAACCCAAAACTGAAGTGGGTTATTGTTCTTGGCGCTTCGAAGGTCTCAATAGCACGTCAAGTTGTATACAAGTAGTACGCTGGCTCTAGCATCTTGCTTCTAGGGTTTTGTAATTATGGAGGTCTTTTACCATATATTTTGGATTGTAGTACTTGTACTGTGGTTTATTAATTTCATAGCATACAAGTACTATCAATACTAATCCGTAGAGAATCTTGGTCGAGGCGAACGGCGGGGGCACCCTGAGGCATCCTGAAAGAATATATATCTATTTTCGCCAATTTTTATCCGAAGTCGTCTGTACTTCCGGTCTCGCTAGTGATACTAGTACATAGTATAGGTAGCTCTACTTACTAGCATAATTGCACTAATACCACTGTTCATTATCATATTATGGAATATGAACCACTACCTCGTACTAGTACTAGTGGTAGTGTGTGTAGAACCCTATCCTAGTGTCCCTTTGGGACACTGAGAAGGGCTTCAAGATTAGTGACTACTTTAGTCGATTGAATGCTAAGTTGCAATACAGATATAGGTATGGCATTAGTGTTACATCTCGCTAGCAGTTACTTGAGGTTCTTTACACGGCACTCGGCCCAAGCACGCCGGACAATCGGTGCATCTCGGGAAGGGGGCAAACAGCATCCATCATGAGGGCTTCGGCGTCAACGTATTTACCCGAGATGGTATAACTTACACTGAAAACTTGGTAATTGTTGCAGATGGTGTGGATAATATCGTGCGCTCAGAAATGCTGAGGATGGCTGGTGGAAGTGCCTCGAACCAGGAGTCTGGTATTTACACTCTAATCGGCAGTCTGACAGGAGCCTAAAACTGACATTACCTCTCTTGTTATCGATGTTTAGAGCTATCAGTCGAATACCATGTACACGTTGGACTGTCCCTTCTCATTCCTACCATCACCCCGGGTGAGCAAATTGTCCGTTGCTACGATGGCTTTGCCGTTTTTGCGCTTTGTGGAAAGAATGGGGCCGTGGGCTATTTCATCACCAAGAAACTGGACCGAAGGTTTCAATACCCCGAAGGACCTGACCATATCCAAAGAAATGCCTCAGAGTTCTGCGAGAGTCTGGTAGATGTGCCGATAAGAGTTATCACTCTCATGATGTAAGCATGCATGAGAAGATATTCGCAGAAGATGTTAGGGGCTTAGAATCAATAGTAAATAGCGACATAACATGGTCATTTTCCAGCGCATTTAACTCGAGATAATGACGGAGGTCTCGTGAAAATGTGAAACCTCGGGTTCCTCTTTAGTGATGTAGACTAGTTGGACAAGATTATCCTGGTAGATAGTACTGTGCTATGTATTAAGACAGGACCCCTGCGGTAGGAAGGCCTGCACGAAGCAGACAACTATTATAAAGGGAGAGCTGTCATCTGGGCTCTAGTCCACGCTAAGTATTTTGCATCATAAAATTAGGGGGACGCAGGGTGAATTTGAGGAAGCTTCCTTACAACCTGTGGCACGATGAGATGAATGGGCTCAGATTAATGGCGATGTCTTACATTGATCATGAAACGCTAGCCCTATCTGCAGGGGATGATGAGATTGAACAATACCATCAGACCCTCCGGCATAATTACCTTCCCGGAAGCCCATTGAATATGTACGTAGTAGCAATGTAATGGGTATAGCTTGGCAGAAGTCGTTTCGCCATGATGATAATTGAAGATTTCAGCACATGTATGGTGACTTGCCAAACAGAGACTCTATCCAAAAGCGAGAGACTCATTCAGTGAACCGAGAAAGAAAACGTATCACTAGAAGGCATGACCCAAAAACTTGAAATTTGTTGCTAACTCCATGGAGCACATCAAGCCACTGACTCAGTGACTTGTAAAGCTCACCGGGAAGTAACATTCCGCAATGCGACCAACCCATTCCAAACGTCCCACAAATGGTTATAAGTCAAAGCCTAATACGGACATCCCTGAAAACGACTAATCAGAGCTGTGACAGCTCAAAGCCACCATCAATGGAATGCCATTACAGATGTCATGTCTCATGTGAACCACGGAACAAGGGCTGCCAGGACCCCGCGCGTGCAGTGCGGATACTACTTCCTGGTGTATTACCAAGACATACAGCGATAAGTGTGGAAGCACATCCATGTAAAGCATGTAGCTCTGTTTCCTATGGATAAGGGAGCTCCAGGCCATAAATTTACCAATCAGCCTAAGAAAACCCGTGGTGACATCCACTCAGAGCCACCGACTTTGCCCATCCAGGCCCTATACGTATAAGACATGGATACGAGTCATAGCCTCTAAGGTTACATGCGTAGCCTCTACAACGGTGGCGGAATAGCGCTTGAAAAGTCCGCGGCAGTCCCAAAACCTTGATTATTTTCTATCCGGTATTTGACTATCGAATCATGAATTTCTTCATGCTACCGAAGTCGTAGGTTAGGACCTAGAATATATAGTATCTAGCTCTTATCGCGGATAATGTCATAGCAAAGGAGCATCTTATTTATGTCAATACTAGGTAAATGACCTCGATATGTCATTAAAGAGTGCCAGTGGGCAAAATTAAGCCTATTACACATGGCTTGAAACCAAAGCGTCACAAAATTGAAGCGAACTCCCATGTTTGGCCTGTGCCAGGACTGGCTTAATCATACTTCACACTCAGTTTTTCCAACAAGAGTCGCAGCATTGGATTTGCCTCGTTGGTGACCTTCTCAATCCGATCAATCTCACAAATGATCGATCTTTCCAGTTGCAGCAGGTATTCCCGACAATGCTGGAATGTTCCAGTCGTGTCAAGGTACTCAACAATGTGTTGCTTAACTTCTAGGGCCAGTGGCTGCATTCCACTGGTCGTAATTGTAGTAGGCCGCTGTCGGAAGACACCGTCAATGAGGTCCCTAAAACCCGCATGGTTCGCAGCACAGTGGACAATCGGGTACGAAAATTTTCCCTCGTCAAGGTCTTCACAGAACCCTTTCTGCTCGATGTATAGACCGGAGCGAAGATTCATGTAATCATCACGGATCTGAAAGAATCGCCCAAACAGGATGGTGAGTCCGTTCATGTTAACCTCGTCGTGGGCTGTACTTTTTCCTTCGGCCTGCATGAGTCTCAAGAGGAGACGAAACAACCCCCCGGTTTTGTTGTCTACCATGTTCAAATACTCAGAGGGGGAAGGGCATTTAAGCTTATATTTCCAGCACAAATCCCAACTTTGTCCCAGGTACAGGTTCTCCAACTCCTCGAGCAGGATCTCAACGGCGTTAGGGCTGCGGAATTGGCGGGCAACTTGGACGGCTTGGACGAACATAAAATTGGCGCTGTTAATCGCTTGCGAATGGCCGAAGATAGTGTGCGTGGCGGGCTTTCCCCGTCGCTTGGGTGAGTTGTCTTCGATGTCGTCTAAGATCAACGACGCATTATGGAGGATATCGACCAGCTGTCCAATTTTGTTCAGTGATGCCTCGTCTACCTCAAGCCAGTAGTTCAATGCTTCAATCATTCGCGATCGGACCCCCTTTGAGGGCATGGAACAGATATACTGAATTGGTGCTTGGAGGGCTGTGTCGGTGGGTTTGTACCACAGTCCTTCTGCCTCCTGGGTTTCTTTGCTGCAAGCCTATAAAACGCTTTATTAGGCTTAATCCTGCCAGAACTCCCAACAAATGAAAGTTCGGGACATACTTTAAAAGATACAACTCGCTTTGTTGCCTCATCGGCTTGGGGTAGCTTGGCTTCCTCGTGGTCTCTGCCACCGAATAGGCTCTCGCAATGCTTGACCACTTTCGAGAGAATTGCCAATACAGCTCGCATAAACTGCTCGATATCATGTTTGTCTAATGCCAGTTGGGCATTCAGATTCATGAACTCCTGTGCATTGATTTCTGGGTTCAATCGAGCGGGTGTTAGCTTTGCATCTTCAGATGAAGGATTGCTGAAGCTGGGATTGTTAGGCATGTCTGTTTCAGTGCTGTAACCTCGATGAGCATTGCTTTCGTTTGGATCTTGCACGTTAATTGAGTGATTGCGCCACGTATGGTGACGGGGAGCGCAACTGGCCCAGTAGTGAGTCCCAGCCACGGTAATCCCCGCTACCTCAACCCACTTCCTCACGTGGAAGGGAAGTGAAGGATTTTGAGCAAAAAACTTGCTTTTTCGTTCAAGATATTGCTGTTCCAAATCGACGAGAAGCTGGCGAACCTTGGCTTTTGCCTCATTGATAGAGATGTTCTCAGTCCGACGAACCACTTCCACCACGTTGGTGAGTCGACTCCCGCTGGTTACAGACTCATGATACTCCCGATCGAAGCTCCAGTAATCATTGGTCCAGATAATTGCCTTGTCAATGGGCTCCATAACGGGCTCGATGAGTTTCTTGTCTTCATCCGACAGACGCATGGCCATGCCAAATTCCACCATCGGCCAGAATGCCCTGAGGTAATCAGAAATTGGGTCTCTTCTATATTGAACACATTAAAGGGTGAGAGTCGGTTATACCTGATTCCAAAATCATCCCTTCTGTAGGCTTGGTATTCTTCCAAGGAGTTGAACTGAGGCGCCTTGCCCTCTTTACCCCCTGCAGCGGACAGCCATCCTTTATTATACATGTCAAACATGTACATACCCAAGTCACGGTCAATACGGATTGCCTCAAGTAAGATTTGCGACACCAGCTTCTTCAACTTGGGAGCACGGGTGCTTCGGCGTGACGACAGTGGCTGCCCATCGGGGTCAAAGAGAGCACCAAAGTCACGATGTTCTGCCCTGGCTTGATCCATATCCATTGCCTCGTACCCATCTAACTGCCGGGTTAGTTATCGATGATATCACTGATTTTGCTAATTACCAACCATCGTGGAGCATTCCTAAATCGGTCAAGTAGGTCAAAATTGCCAGTCTCTCGGGAGGCACCTCGGGATAGGCAAATGCCCCCAGATTTCCCAGCTCACTGATGGAAATCAGTGCTTTATCTGCCAGGCCATCATGTAGACAATGGTCCCAGTCACGAAGAGCCCTTCTGGTGGCTGAATCCGCGACATCGGTTCGCTCGTTTATACGGATTGGCAAAGTGGTAAATGATGGCGTCTTCTTGATGGCCTCCGCATCAATGGGTCGGGAATGTTGCCAACAGTCCATGTTGTACAGAGATTGCCGACTGGGTAGCTCCCTTGGTATAGAGAGATGTGAGTGTGCTACCCCTAAGTGAAGTTTGACCTGATGATTGGTATCTCAGCAAATCAATACACAGCATAACTGTACGGAGCTACCTTTCCGAGCCGTCATATCTCCGGGTTACACAGAGCTTTTTAAAGTGGACCCATTGATATGGACCCGCGGCATTCCATCTTACTTTGATTTACATCGAAAGAAACTCACTTCCGAGTAGAGACACAGTGCGTCATCAATTTAGAACCATTTGTACATTAGCTTAGTGGCTACCTCTTTCCGGACGGGTTGCACATCAGTGTAGTAGCCGCGGACACCACCACTGGGAAAGCATGGTATAGTTCGTAGATTGGACGCCAAACTTACGACATAAGCGTACCCAACAATGTAGTATGGTACCCCCGTACTATGTAGGTAATAGAGCTGGATTGGCTTCAGCGTTGTGCCCTTGATCTACTGGTAATCACTGCCTGAACGCCTGATGCAGCATAGGGGTTGACATCAGTGTAGTAGCCGCGGAGATTATCCCTGGGAAAACAAAGTATATTTCATAGACTAGACGTCAAAGTTCCAACATAAGCGTACTCAAGAATGTAGTATGGTACTCCTGTGCAATGAAAATGATAACTCTGCACTGACTTTAGCGTTGTGACTTTGATCTACTGGTAATCACCAGCTGAGCGCCTCATCTAGCTTTAGGGCTTGACATCATGACAAGAGCCCCATGATTATCACCAAAGCCTTCAATGCAACGTGCTCTGATATGTAGGAAAAAGCTTGTGACATTCCCAAACTACTGATCGGTCTTATTTCAAGATAAATGTGCGAGGCATACGGGGATACACTCGAAAACCGACAAGAGGGAAAGAAAAGAAACTGAAACTACATCCCATCCACCTTCTCTCTTTTTAAAGAACATCTATCTGATTAAGAGCAAATCCATGAAATAAAGATATCAACACACAGCATCTCTCTTGACTATGTCCGATATCAATCTTGAACAAGTTGCCATCATGGCATGCTCATTCGTATGAGACCAACCCCTTTAACGATGCACGCTTCGATGGTAACGGACCAATGGCTGGTGTAGGGCACAGGAGCGTTGATGTTGATGATTATCTACAACTACTTTTTCCACCCCTTGGCGCGAGTGCCAGGGCCTTTGACTGGAGCGGTTTTCCCGGTAAATTCAATCTCCTCAAAGCAGATATCTTACCTATACTAAGAAAGAATCGTCCGTTGGTATTCCTATAGTTCTGGACAATGAGAACCTTGCATCGCCGGAATTTGAACCCAGGTCTGGCACAGCTACATGAGAAATATGGTTAGACACAGCGATAATCCTCTCCCCATCTCTCGGGCTTTACGGGCAGCTCTGCTGATGCACTAGAGGGAGATTTGGATACAGGCCCTGTTGTTCGAGTTGGCCCCAACCAATTGTCATTCACAAGTGTCGAAGCCCAGAAGACTATCTACAACGCCAAGCCGACCGACAACGGCGCCGATGAACCATTTAATAGAAGCGGAACCCTACAGGACGTGATACTCTTACTCTTATTAAAAGCACGCAATATCGGCTCGCTTTCGAGCCAAGCCGAGCATAAGAAAATACGAAGACGTCTACTTCCAGGTTTTACATCAAACGCGCTTTTCGAACAGGAATCGCTGTTGCGTCTGCATGTGGACAACCTCTTGCATGCACTCGCACAACATCAAGGTCCCAATGATTTGACTGAATATTTTTCCAGATTCCTTTGGAACTTGGTGAGTGATCTTTCCTTTGGAGAGCCTCTAATTCAAGAAAAGAAAGGTGAGTTGATACTTGATACGTTCTTGAACTCCTACTCCTACTCCTCCTTATTCTTTTTTCTTGTTTCTTGTTTCTCAGTATCTTGTTCCCGACGCATCCACCCCAAATCTGAAGTTGCATTTGCTAAAGAAGACCCCCACACAGACACGCTGCAATCGCTGGTTGATCTATACGAAAATTTCTTCCCCCTGATAGAAGCTATCAACTATGCGGTTCCACAAGTTCAAGGATCAATCAGATTGGTTCTCCACCTGATACCGTCACTTACTCTGCGCGCGGTTTTGCCCACAGCCACATTCAGAGAGTATGTACCCAATATTGCCGTTCCCCAATTACTTTCATAGTTAGGCTAGGCACCACTAAGCTGTTTACATCTTCTTTCTTTCTAGTTGCATTGACCGACAGGATGGTCGATGTGATTTCATCACACATATTATGGGCCACAAAAGCCGTGATCCCACTGAATTAAAGCTGAGCTATGAGGAAATGCATAGCAACGCCACTATCTTAACGTGAGTCGCTGCCCCCCAGATACTTGAGACCCAACATGGATAGCACAATAGAGCGTGCGCAACAATGGCTGAAGAAATCGCGTTTCCCTTCTTTGTATAGGCTCGCCGCTTACAAGTCAACCGAGATAATCATGTCAGCGTTATTCTACCGACTTCTAGCAACTCCAGGAGTGATCCAAGAACTCCAAAGCGAACTCTTGCGCAACTTCCAGAGCATTGATGATATCACTGGGAAGAAACTGCTGCCACTTCCCTACCTGAATGGATGTATCTACGAGACTCTCCGACTAACTGTCGCAGTGGCTGGCAAGCTTACGTCCCGTCTGTCGCCTGGAGCGATGATTGAAGGCATCTACGTCCCGGCTGGAACAGAAGTCTATACCGAGACGTATAGTATGCAGCGGAGTCCCCGATATTGGCATGCCCCGGATGAATTCCGCCCCGAGCGCTGGTTCGAGCGTGGTGAGGGCAGTCCTTATGCCCGGGATGTGCATGAGGCGTTTAAACCGTTTAGTTCGGGCCCTAGAGCTTGTCTCGGGAAGGAATTGGCCCTGCAGGTTCTTCGGTTGACGGCCGCTTTGATGGTCTATCGCTTTGATCTGAGAATGTTGGATAAGGATAGGTTCGTGTGGGACAAGGACACGTACTCCGGCATCGCGTACTCGAATTATCATGTTAAAGCCACCGTCAAGGAGCGTGTCTGATACGAGGGGGATGCTTTGGCAGATAGCTAAGATATCGGGAATGCAGAGTGGTAGCACGTTTCGGAAAACAATATTGTTACCGGTTTCTTCGCGGGTGCACTTCTTAAATTTATTTTTAATTGAAATTTATATACGTTGTCTACTCTGGAATATACAGAGCTCTACCTAAAAGGTCGGATATCTTCGTACTCTCTATCAAAGCATATTTAGAGTCCAAATAGAAAGCACCTTGCATATTGTCCAAACCATTAGCCTACTATATAGTCATAGTATTATGCAAACCTTACTTGAGAGTAGTTACTACAAAACGATACGGTAGCCAGTACTATATTATCACTCGAAGCCGATATGGCTCCTGATAACAATGCTCTATTATCATGTCCAAGCAGCACGTGGCAATAAGGCAAGACATTAAAGATTATATAGTGATTGGTAAGTCCATGCTGGTCTCTGTTTTATCAGGCCTGCACATCAACCAATATCTTACAATGTGAGTCCCGATCATCCAATAGAGCCTGGAATCCCTTCTCCACAACATCATCCAGCTTGATTTTCGACGTGACCATTCGCTCGGGTTTCAATTGCCCTGATTAGCGATTAGAGATGCTTACAAGGACATAAACGAGACCGCACAACTCACCGTAACTAAGTGCTCGGATGACTTCGCGAAACGCGCTTTCATCGTACAGTGCTGACCCTGTATAGTTGACTTCACTATACATCAACTCGTTGACTCGGATAGCTGGCCGCTTCTCCCAAACAGCAATGTTTACTATTGTTCCGTGTGTTCGACATGCTGCGATGGCACCGTTCAAAGCCACCTCCACACCAGCCGTATCAAAAACAACGTCCGCTCCTACGCCGTCAGTCAGATCGCGGACCTTCGCCGCAACGTCTACCTCTCGCGGATCTAGAATATGCGTTGCGCCGTAATCAGAAGCGAACCGCTTCCTATTCTCCGTCAATTCCGCAACCATGATGTTCTTTGCTCCCTGTAGTTCAAGCACCTGGATGATTCCAATACCGACAGGTCCGCCCCCGAGCACCAAGACGTTGTCATTTGGCTTGAATGGCGATATATTCACGGCGTGCCAGGCTACCGCCAACGGTTCGACCAATGCTGCTGCTTCGAGGGATACATTGTCGGGAATCGTATAGAAATGTTCTGCGGGTGCTACGATGTATTTCGCTAATCCACCACCGTAGCCTACCAAGTAAATTAGTATGTAGCCCTGCATGTATACCATATGTTGTAGGGATATGTACGTACCGGATAGCCCGATGAAACCGATCTTCTCGCAACAGTGCTCATATCCCTGCTTGCATGGCGTGCATTCTCGATCGAAGATGGTCGGTCGCACTACCGCTCGTTGTCCCGGCGAGATATGGGTCACGTCTTCTCCGACTTCTTCGACGACTCCGCTGAACTCGTGACCGAGTGTTACTGGCACGCTGGTTCCTGTGATTGCGTGTGGCTTTTCTGGGACTAGGACAGGGCCTCCGGAGTATTCGTGGATGTCTTTCGCAGGTCAGTTTATGGGTCTTCGATACAGAAGTTGATCGCGAACTTACCACTTCCACAGATCCCCACGAATGATGGTCGCATCTATGAGTAGATCTGTCAGCGCATACCTTGCAATTGCTATGTGCGTGAAGCGTACCTTCACCTGCCCTTTGCCGCATGTGGGTTCTTCAATTTCCTCAACCCTGATGTCGCCGCGACCGTGGAAGCGCGCTGCTTTCATGACAGGCGTGGTTTTAAGGGTTGTTCGATAAGTGTTGATAGAGTCGGTTGCAGTGTTCAACATTTTTGCGGGCGAATTCTGGTGTCCTCGACAATAGTGAAACTGGTATATTTTGTAGTCATCGATAGAAATATACTACTAGTAGTTTGTAACCTAGGGGAATCGAAAGCTTCAATTGTCATAAATATAAGAGCTAAATGGTATAAAGTAGATAAGGCGAACAGTATCTTAGACGTTTGTATGACGTTGATCATGATCACCCGAGATCATAGATCTATCGTACTATAAGCTGCTCGTCTGAATTAGGTTTGAAAGATCATGATGTATTAAGTGTCCGTCGAGTTTAATTGGTTCGATTGCATCTCGTTCCTTTGACAACCATTACAACATGCGTGGTGTTGCATTCGTCCTGCGCGACGCCATTCTATTGGTCTGCGTATAAAAATAGTGCCCAAGTTGACAGCTCGTGATTTGTTGGGACTGAGTGGCGCTCATTCAGGTTCAAGAATTTGCTGAAGTGTGGCTTAATGTGCAAGCGACCAAGAATCAGAACGGAGTGGCTTGAGATCGCATCCGGGGAGTGAAGCTCGTCTTCCACTTTGTGGGGTGCTAGGCAGTGGCGTCATTTCTCCCGGCAATCCGACACCTGACACTGAGTAATATCCAGTCCCGCAGCTGTCACGAAACGGGGCAACTACTAGTAGATCGCTCTATCATTGGTGTCCAGCAATTGTCAGTCTAAAGAGATCAGCAGCACTGAGCGCAGGCTTCTAGAATAAAGGTAGCGGCAATTTTGAATGGTAGCGATGGGCAGCCGTCTTTCTGCTCCCGCTGCCACACTTTAGTCGCAAAGTTGCGTGAAGCTGCGCAAGGCTCAAACGTGGGGATTTATCCCGACCAATCAAGCTTCTTCTTCACGCTGTTGCTCAACAAATGCTCGTAAAATAGACTCCAGTCCCTCGTTACGGCGCGCAAGTAGCATCACATCTGCGACATTGACTGTTGAGCGCCCGGCATGCCTAAATAGGAAATGCCGAGTGTTAGCCCGGAACCAAGGTCAAGCATATCCTTATCCAGATCGCCCCTGGAAGGTCACGATCACATCAAAACAAGGTAACCAGGCCCTGCTATTTGGGAATTTAGGCTTAGGGATCTGGCTTACTTAGCAAATGACTCCAGATCCTGGCTGACCGTCTCTGTTCATCATCCTTAGTCAGCTACAGGTTACAGTGATCGATACATGACGAAAGCCACCATGCAACGAGTAAACGGCATGAAGAATCGTTTGCGAATCGGTGATGTACACAATGAACCTACCAATTTGGGACCAGACCATCTCAGTCAAAGCTCCGATGAACTGAGGGGTGGCGTTGACACCAAGCTTAATGGTCTCCTCGTCCACGATCTTTCCAATCGATAACCAGAGAGCAGATTTCAAGCGCTGCAAGACGATTTGTTACTGTGTGCCATGTATGCTATGGATGATGTATACTTACCTCTTCAAGATTGACTTCTTCGTTCTGCTCCATTCTCTATCGAGGCTATCGGAGAAGCAAGAAGCTTGATGTATGGTAGAAGCCGATAAAGGAGGCGAAACAGGCCTTTGTTCGTGGCGACAGGATGGGATATATCGTCGATCGATCCAGCAGTCTTCGACGCGCGATGCTCGTGTCCTCTGCAGAAGACGCGTTGAGCGTACATACAAATCGAGATCAGTTGTGATTGGCTTCTCAGCCCCTCCCGGAGAATCCATAACTCCGAACGCGGAATGACGCTAGACCCGAACGACCCATTTCCACATTCGGAATTCTTCTCTACTGTCCATCAAGTTCCACGCCTGTTCACCGAACCAGGGACTTCTCCTTACTCTTATCGCGTCAGTCTGTCAGGCAAAATAATTGCCCTGCAATCAATTCACCAGCTCCAATCTGCGAGTTGCCTCCTGGGCCCCCAAAACCCCACGACCAAGCTTCCCAACAAAACGTCCACTATCTTCCGGCCAAAGCCGGCGACTTCCCCTCTACGCAACCCAGCAACATTCGGACACACGGTCACTTCAGACCTGAAAACAAAACATATCATCCAGAATGGCAACCCGCGATCCCGGCGAAGTTGCCGCTGACGCTCTCAACGACTTTTTCGGTCAACTCTACAGCTTCTTTGAGACCATCTTTACCCGATTCTTCGGAAACCTCTATGCCTCCTTCGCCGATGTGAGCATCAACCGCTGGACGAAGGTCATTCTGTCTGTGATTGGCTACCTTCTCATCCGGCCATACATCGAGCGTTTCTTCAAGTTCATGCACGACCGAGACCGCAAGAAGCAGCTGGAGAAGGAAAAGGCCAAGAAGGATGGAAAGAAGGCGAAGATGTCAGCTAATGAGCTTCGTGGTGGCGCCGGAGCTGGTCGAGTCCTCGGCGAAGTGGAGAACACGGACGATGAGATTGAAGATGGAGAGGACTTCGCGACGGCGAGCGGCGTGCCTGAGTGGGGAAAGAACGCTCGGAAGAGACAGAAGAAGTACATGAAGAACCTGGAGAAGGAGGCTGAGAGCCGGACACACAATCTCTCTGAGGAACAGCTTATGGAGCTACTGGATTGGAGTGAGTCGGAGGATGAGAAGGCCGCGGGTAAGAAGGAGTAGGTCGTGTCTTTTGACCATCTTCCTTTCTCTCCCTTGTATTCGATAATATGATTTTGGATGGGAAACATATACTTTGGAGATTGGGGTCTTTCTGAGGATGTACCATAAAGACGTGTGGTGTTATAATATATGTAATAAGATAAAGCATCAAGGTGGCCTTTTTGCGCTGCCTCTTAATTTATGACGCAGATACTTTTGTTCCTAAATGACTGTAGAATTGTAGAGGGCTATGATAGAGTCAATGTTACCTTTCTGGACTGATCGAAATGCGTGACTTATTCAAACGATCTCGTGATAGACGCAAGCAAGTGTTGCATCAGGCTCCCCATCAGCGTCTGGACCACAACCCGAAAATAATGGTTATGTCGATCAGCTTCTGACAACTTCATCTGGACAGACATTCTTGGGACATATCTACCTTTGTAACACCCGTAGCGAGCGTCGATCAATGGGTCATTGATGTTAGAAGAAGCTGCTCTCGGCACACGCATGATAACACCTGCCGATACAGCACCCGGTACGGTATCCGATACTGCTACCGATACAACTCCGATACAGTCCGATAACACCCCATGGGGTGAGATTCCTCCTTATGCTACAATATGAGGGGAAACTTCGAAACATGAGCGTAGGTAATGAAGCAAGCCAAAGCCTAACAAGGTGATCATACATTCCTGATAAAGGAACTGGGAAACAAAGTTCGTAAAGCGAGGGTATTCTCAATGTCGTGACGTCGGCGAATGTCCTGAGTACGATGCTTCAGGTCATTGTTACTCTGACAAGCGATACCTTACTATGTATTAATCTCACTAATCATTCCAGGAAATGTGTGAAGTAAATACAGATATAATGCTCTTAGGAAATCATCAATCTATTCTAGGGAGGACAAATGTTGAGAGAGGCGGTTTCTCTTCACCACGGGCAGCGGTCACGCTACCCCATCTGGAGGCGCTTCGCCCCGCTTATCTGGGGTATTCAGCGGGACATACTAGAACAAAGTCGCCCGACTCGCTTGCAAGTCACAACACTCCACATCTTCTGCCTGTATACAACAAATACACATGAGCTTACCTCAGCAACTTATACTTGTTCTCCATAGGTCTTGCTGACAGGGCACGCCGCGCTTCTATCTGCTTGCTCAAATACAACATGGTACGTACATACCTGCTTCTACACAAAGTTGTAGCATCAATCTCTAACTTATGATTAGTCGCAGCAATACAGAAAAAGAAGAAAGATCGCCCTCGCTTGTTTACCATGTCGTGCGCGAAAAATCCGTTGCGATGGTATTGAGCCCAGCTGTGGCCCATGTAAACGACGAGAGACCTCGTGTTCTTACCCCGTTGAAAGTGCCAAAAAAGCTCAAGATAACCAGTAAGACTCTGCTGTGTGTATAGTGGACGGAACCTCGGGCCAACTGTACTTGTCATTTCCAGGTATATATACCGGTTACACACCGTTGATCGAGCTGCGTCTGCAAGAGTCACCCACATTCCTGCGTCTGGAAGCCCGCTTGCTTCAGTAGAACCCAGAATTGGACAGAGTACACCCGGTGGTGTCAGTCATCGATGTGATCTGAATAACGATACCGCTGACTCTCAGAGAATGCCTTTGCAAGTACACAATGAGGATGGTCCTACTGCTTTCTCTCAAAATGCCCCCATGAGCAATGACGGACACAATGCCTCTAATCTTAGAACAAGGCAGGCCTCGGGCTTCCGGAGTTCTAGAGGAAGCCAAAGCCGAATCACAGCAATGGGCATAACACCCGACGGACTCTCCGGCTTGTCAGAGAGCGAGGACGAGTTCTTTGGTGATTCATCGGTCGCGTCTTTTCTAAAGCAGATCAAAGAATCTGCTATCAAAGAGACTGAACGAGGAAGATCGACAACAGATCCGGTTCCGCGTGCGACTTTTGGCACACAATCGATCCCAATTCCACCAGCGGCTGATATTAGTCTGAGTGTCAAAGCCTACGACCTACCACCACGACAGCTGGCTGACTATCTTTCGAACCTCTATTTCGACAAAATCCACAGTTTGTATCCATATGTTCATAAACCAAACTTTCTTCGCGCTTATAGGCGCTTATGGACGCCAGATGCGGAAACAGGCACAGAAACAATCTCGTCCGGACTGGGTTTAGGAGATGCCTGCGTGCCCCCGGCACTGTTTCATTGCGCATTGAACATAATATTTGCTCTTGGATGCCACTTTTCTAAACTAGATCATACAGCGCGGCAAGCTACAGCGGAGGAGTTCTTTCAACGTTCGCAGCGACTATTGAACGTGATGTCACTTGATAAAGGTGATTTAGCCCTGGTACAAACATTACTATTGACGTCGCAATACTTACAAGGAGGCGAGTCTCCGTCGAGATGCTGGAATATAATCGGCCTTGCTTGCAGAATCGCACAATCTCTCGGAATGCATTCTCTTAAGGCGGATAGGCTCAGGACACCGGCCCAAACACAGATGAGAAGGCGCGTCTGGCATGGATGTGTAATGCTTGATCTGTGAGTGCATCAGATTATGAAGGTTCATATTACTGACAAAACCCCTAGTGCAAGTAGCATGATGCTGGGTCGTCCTCCCATGACTCATTCTTCCGCTGTACCTCTTCCAGAAGCTATCGATGACGAACTTCTCGATTCGACCACGGCAACCTGCCAATTACCAGCGGACACGCTTTCAAAAGCTGAGTTCTATGTCAGAACTCTTCAGTTATATAAGATACTGAGAAAGATTCTATCTGAGGTCTATGAACCTTGGGAGGACGGGGGGTCTTCTGATCAGTCAGAACAGCCGAAGTCCGAGAATGAGTTAGCACAGACATTACTCAGTTTAGATGAGAAGCTTCTGGAATTTGAATCAAGTCTCCCAGCGGCTCTCCAATGGCGTGATGCGCAGCAGCCCGCTGGTGTGGCTGGACCGTTCCGTCGTGAAAGCAGCCTGTTGAGAGGAAGGTGATTACTACTGCGAATCGTTTGATGATACGTCACTGACCCTTGCCCCAGATTCCTTCACCTGAGAATCTTACTTCTTCGTCCTACATTCGTCAAGTTCTGCCGTGACAATCTGCCACCACGTCAAGCGGGCGGCTACCCTCGACACGAACAAGTACCGTTGAAAAGCAGAATAGCCGTGGATTTCAGTATCAGCTGTTCGACATCATGTGTCGAGACTGCGATTGAGCTGTCGCATCTGATGAATGAAATTTCGACGACTGAATTGGCAAGTGTATGGTGGTACAATGTCTTCTGTATGTGCTCCCCGTGACGAGTATGAAGTGGCGGCTCGCTGAACCAAACCACTAGATGCTTTTACGGCTGGCGTTGTTCTCATACTGGCTCACGCATCTCCTGCTATGCAGTCTAGATTTCCTCAGCCAGTCTTGGGTAATGCTTGGAAGAGCTGCTGTGACTGCCTGGAAAACATGGATCTGTACAGCAACACCGCCAGGAACTGCGCCACCAACCTGCGGAAGACCCTATCTCAAGTGCTAAGCGGTCAACGGCATGAATATAGTGTCCATACTGAGAAACATGCGCCTCAAACTACAGACCGACACTTGGGCCATGATGTAAATTTATCTAAAGCACCGAGTATCTTTTCCAGTCTCGGTGGATCAGAGGTTGGCGATGGTTCCAACCAAGGAGCTCTGGATACCCAATTCTCTGGGGCATTGGACTCACTCTGGAGTGGAGATGATGTGAATAGCTCTCTGATGGAGATGCTATGGGATGACCTATGGTTGGCGGCGCCATCATTCTTCTGATAATCGCCAGACCATTATAAAGCTCAGCCTATTAGGAAGTAAATAGAAAGTATTGAAGAAAAGAGAGCCACCTGGCCAACATACAGGTCTTCCTAGGAGCTCGACATTTATGGTCTCGCTTATTAACATAACGAAAACCTAATCTATTCCCATCTGCCAGGGGGTTACTTGCCGAATAATTCACGGAACATGGTCTAGAGCTATCAAGTTACATGACCCTTCATTCAGAAAACGCCAATCTCCAAAGCGATCTTGTATATATCCGGCACATGACACGGTCATGCGTGAGGGGTTTCTAACGCTTTCCCTGTGCAACACTTAGCTGACACTATGCACCGTTATAGGAATCCGCAGTCATTGCCCGAGCTCAAAGTAATCTACTCTGCCACGAGCGCATTGCTTATATTCATTGACGTCCCCCTTTCCTCTTGTCACATACCACTGAAACATTTGTGGCGTCCATGACTGAAACCAGAAAAGTAGACGTGTTCATTAGCGGTGGTGGGCCTACTGGCTTACTTACTGCGTATGCACTTACTAGACAGGGTGTGGACACCTTACTCGTTGGTAGGCACTTTCCCACTTTCTTCCCTCTAATGAATCTCCCCAAGAGGCTAAGCTTCACTGATTGCTCTGCACAGAGCAACATGACAAAGCTCAACAAGCCATGTATGGTCGCGCAACAACTCTCCATCCGCGCACGCTTGAGTTACTGGACCAACTGGGCGTATTAGATGACCTGAACCAAATTGGTTACGTGGCTCGCGATAGTGTGACTTACAGGGATGGCAAGCGGGTGACGGCCCGAGGTTGGGAAATTATGTACCGGCATATGCGTGGCACGTTCCTGGATTATTGTCTGAATATCCGTCAGAAGTATTCGGAGGAGGTGATACGAGATGCATATGTAGCGCTTGGAGGCGAGCCGTACATCGGATGGAGACTAGATGGCTTCGACGTCAAGGAGGCTTATGATGACGATCATAAGGTCGTCTCACATATAACGGAGGTTAGCTCGGGTAGGAGTTCGACGGTTAGGAGGTATGCGGGCAGTCCGCTATTTTGCTGTTGTTTTGAAGAGACTCATGCTGATATTGCTGATTAGTAAATTCATCGTTGGCGCGGATGGCAGCCACTCGCTTGTGAGACGCCTCGCTGGTATTTCGTTTGAAGGCGATCACACCAACTTCAGATGGGTACGCATTGATGGGCGCTTCAAGACTGATATGCCCGATGCTGATATTGGCTTCGCTTCCATCGAATCCAAAAGCCATGGGAATGTGCTATGGGTTCAGCTAGATCATGGTGTGAAGCGGATCGGATTTGCTATGACACAGGAAATGCTCGCCAACTACGGGGATAAGCTTACACTTGAAGATGCGAAGGTGGAAGCTGTCAAGTTCATGAAACCGTTTTCATTGGAATTTGAAACCATAAACTGGTGGACTTTATATGGGTGAGTCTTGTTTCCGTGACTCCAGGTTCCTTCTGACTTCCACCACAGCATCAATCAGCGCGTAGCAGAGTGCTTTTATAACAACGACCGAGTGCTACTAGCCGGCGACGCCTGTCATACACACTCATCTGGCACAGCGCAGGGCATGAACACAGGCGTTCATGATGCAGTAAACCTGGCCTGGAAGCTCGGCGGCTTCGTGAAGGGCTGGTATAGTATCAATGTGCTTCACAGCTATGATACAGAGCGGCGTGCTGTAGCGCAATATCTAATCAACCTTGACAAGGATTTCTCAGCTACTATCTCGGTGACCGTCCCTGACAGGAACAAGGATCTATCATCAAGCTCGAATGAGCTATTTGCCAAGGTCTTCGATGATACAATTGATTTTTGTATCGGTTTAGGTATTCACTACGACGAGAGTGTCATCAACAAGCCTTCTTTAGCGATAGCAATATCAGCGGGCTGGAGAGCTCCAGATTCTTTAATATATGCTCCTGGGTCACGACTACCTATTCAAATGCTCCACCTGATGCCGAACGTTGCTGCTTGGTCAATTCTTCTCCTGGCTGGACATCCCGAGAAGACTTGGCAGAGTCTCATCCGTGTTGTGGAGACATTGAAACAGCTTAGCGAGTGCCTTCCTCGCAGCATGGTTCGGTCTATAACTGTGGTTGCTCAGAGACCTGCTGGAGGAGACCAAAGGTTCAGTATTCCAACAATTGGTCGACTCTACTATGATCCAGAGGGCTCGGCCCATGCTGCCTATATGGTGGCGGATAGCAACGGTGCAGTCGTCATTATTTGACCAGATGGGATCCTAGGTTATGCAACGCAACTTGACGAGGCGAGCAGTGTTCGAGAATATTTTGCCGGCTTCATTACCACCCACTGAGGACACATGGTAAATATGTCGAGCTTTTCGAGTTTGATTGCAAATTGTGGCATGGCGTAGTCAATGTTTTGGCTGCTATTTCAGTGACATCTTCTCACATTTGATTATGTGGAACAGGTGCAATCCCCATGAAACCTGGCACAACATAAGTGTAGGCGATCGAATTCGAATGATATAGTTTGGTTTCGGGTGCTGTATGGTAATATTACCGAAGCCGAAACATACCACCATTAGCCACCTCAAGTGGAACCTTTAGTTCCAAGCTTGATTCTCAGCACCGAATGAGGTTCCCGATTTTTGGGATTTGTCCCAAGCTTTCCGGTTGATGCTGATTATACCAGCAATCACTATGTATATGCATCGCTGCATTAAGAGGAACACACTACCTTGTGCCGTGGTATGGAGCTAAGAACCCCGCAGATCCTCGACCCGCCCCCGCAACCAACCAGTGGCAGGCTGACGAAAGATGACTTATATCCCGGCTAGCAGTAATTACAGACCGACACACAACGTCCTTCCTGGTGCTTATCAATGCCACTGGCTCCCGTGTTATTTAATCGACCTCTTCTTCCTCTATTTCTCTATATGCTCTCCCAAGACTAAATCCAGGTCAATTCATCACCGACCAACTTACCAAGATGGGCCTGCTTAGTGGCTTAACTCGACTTGATTCAACACAAGAATCCATCTCACACTTTCTGCCATATATTGCCTTCTTATCCATCTTCTCGCTTATCACTTATATTCTATATATCCGTTTCTACAGTTCATTAGCTAGAGTCCCCGGCCCCTTCTGGGCCAGTCTTTCGCGATGGTGGCTGGTATTCTTCTCAGACAAAGGCAATATGCATCGATTGTATCCTCGTCTTCATGAGAAGTATGGCAAATTGGTTCGCGTCGGACCAAAAGAAGTCAGTGTGGCGGACTTGGATGCCATCCAGATGATCTATGGTATGGCTGCTTTTCACCAGAGTTTATTCCGTCAAAGCACTGACCCATCAACGTGTAGGAGCTGGCAACAGATTCGCAAAGAGTGATTGGTACAGTGAGTCCACTGACCCTCTCAATTGTACTGATGTCCAATTTGGCTGAGATAAAACAAAGGCGTTTGGCAAGGTCGTCGTAAATTCGATCTCTTTGCAGAACGAAGTGAGATGATCCATGGTGCTCAGCGACGACTCGTCAACAATATCTACTCGATGAGTAGTCTCAAGGACTTTGAGCATGGCGTGGATGCAGTCGTCGAACGACTCATGCAGTGTCTACATGGGCAAGGGCCTGACGCAACTGTTGATATGGGGAAGTGGGTGCAGCTGTTTGCTTTTGGTAAAATTCCCCAGGCAAAATATCTTCAATGCATGTTACCCCCTTCTAAGAAACACAACACGCAGATGTCATTGGAGAAATTACATTCTCCAAATCATTTGGCTTCCTCGAGAACGGAACAGACGGTGGCGCATTCAGTCAGATTGAGAACGCACTTCGCTCGGCTTCCTGGGTGGGCCAAGTGCCCTGGGTTTATTGGCTGCATGATTACATGACGCCTCTCATCGGAAGTCGTTTGGGTATCGCAGCGCGCCATGGTACGATTCGACAGATTGCAGCTCGTGAGATCATGGCCCGTAGAGAGGGGAAGCATGTCGAAGAAGCTAAAGAAGAGCAAGACATCTTATCCAAACTCTTTGACGTGCAGAAGAAGAAAGGAAATCAGCTGTCAGATGATGACGTGCTCTCAATGGCTACGTCGAATGTTTTTGCGGGCTCTGATACCACTGCTATCTCGATCAGATCGATCATCTACCATTTGCTGAGGACGCCGACCTCCCTGAAGAAGCTCAGGGATGAGATTGAAGATCGTAAACGTCAAGGCAGATTTTCGGACCCGGTTACGCTGGACCAGGCGAATGACATGCCGTATCTTCAGGCGTGCATGTGGGAGGGGTTGAGACTGCACCCGGCTGTTGGGATGACTCTGCCTCGTGTTGTTCCTAAGGGGGGAATTGTTATTGATGGGTGCTTTTTGCCGGAGGGGGTAAGATGACTCCAGTACCCATGGCTTGTTGACTGCCCAATGAAGGACTTTGGACTAATACAGGATGAAATATTAGACAACCGTGGGCGTCAACCCCTGGGTCGTCCATCGCGACGCCAGTATATTCGGCGACGATGTGGAAGCATTCCGCCCTGAAAGATGGTTAGGGGAGAAGACAGGCGATATGAGTGAGTCCATAGCTCCACATGTTGTTATGATTCGCTAATCATATCCCTCCTAATATTAGGACGATACTTCTTCGCTTTCGGTGGTGGTTCCCGACTTTGTATCGGAAAGAGTACGTCTACCTCACCATCACCCAACAAGATTTCTATATCTAACTTCCTCACAGATATCAGCTGGATGGAAATGAGCAAGGTAATAGCCACTCAACCTAATGATACCTCTCTCTACAATCGACATTCAACATCAACTAACCGAGAAATAGATGATCCCAACCCTTTTCAACCGCTTCGACATCCAACTCGCGAACCCAGATGAGCCATGGAAGGAAACATGTTGGTACGTATACTACCATCCACCCACAACTCGGATGAAAAACATACCATATCAGCTAAGTCAATACTGACCCTATCTCAGGTGGTTCGTCAAACAAGAAGGTCTTCTAGTCAAACTCTCACCCCGCAAAACATAACCACTACATCCTCACCAACCATATCCCCAAATTACCCCAACTCATCAAACTGTACATACAACCCACCAAGACAAATCAATAATGACTATCCCTCCACTCCCCCACCCTAAAAACCCAATCCCTGACCAACGCCCCAAACACCCCCCTCTCACTCTCATCCACCGGCAACCCATGCGTCCCACGATCCAGCACCGCAAACGTCGCCCTGGGATACTTCTCCAACAGACCCAAACAATCCCTATACCCTACAATTTCATCCTGCCTCCCACAAACCACCAGCGTCGGGGCCATCAACTTCTCCCCACCTGACAACAACTCCTCACTCAACCGATACCTCCCCACATCACCCCTTATCTTATCCAAAACCCCCTTATCAGCCCCCTCCTCCGCAGGAACATACACCTCCCGATACTTCCTCACCAACTCCCCCACATACCCCTCCGTCTGCACCATCACCCTCCCCCCGAGAAGCGTCCTATCCTCCTCATCCAGCCCATCCATGAGTTTCTCATCCCTAACCAACGGCTCAACCCTATCAACATCCCGCTTCGCATCCTCCGGCTCAACAAGCGGCACCCGTAGAAGTAACCCATCTATCTGGTGGATAAATCTCTGAGCGAGTGCACGCGCAAGATACGCCCCGCAGGAGGACCCGACCAACATGAAGCGAGAATCCCCGAGGGTGTTGTCAATGAAGTGCACCAGGTGGTGGTAGATGTCGTCGAGGGAGGTGATGTTTCTTGCTGGCGTGGAGGCCGTTCCTGGGAGGGCGATGTAGATCCGCCTGAGGGGTGTGTTGGAGGGGATACTGGGGAGGGTGGTGAAGATGGGCTCGAAGTCGTGCATTTCTGTTTCGGGAGTCATTTCCCATCCTGGGAGGATGAGGATCGGGTGGCCGGTGGTGGGGCCGTGGGTTTGTGTGGGGAGGGGGGGCATTTTCTTTTCGTGTTGATTTGGGGTATGGGTTTGGTTTCTGGTTCTGGGTTTTGGGTTTTGGGTTTGGTTTTGGTGGTGGGATGGGATGGTTTTGGGTAGAGTACTATGTGAGGGATAGTGGTTGAAGATGAGGGGATGGGTTGGGAGTCATACCGATTAGCACTATTTGTGGATTTGTCAGATCACGCCAGATCATCTATTTGTTTTGTGGGTTGGCTAGTTTAGTTTGGGGCTGGGACTAACTAGTAGTGGATTTGAAGGTTTCAGGGTCAGATACGAGGGTGGGATTCAAGCTAGCTTTGGGCAACTATCCAATACATTGCGCTGTGGGAGGACTTCAATATGTAGTGATAGTGTTGTGGTCGTCATGTATATATAAATGAGATGATAGCTGATAGGGACTTAAATGCATGCAAATCATGAGCAGGTTTGGCAAGCGGAAGAGTCATGGCCAGGTACTCTATGATCCATAATAGAGACCTCATTGCCAGATTGGAAAATTCTTCATTCAGACAATACCAGAGGCAGATGAGCACGTACCAGCCGAGATCATTGCGAGTGTTCCTTCAGCCACTTGTACACCACGGAAAAGTCCTTCCCACGGTGTTCCTCCTCAACAGCATTATACACCTTCTGAGCGGTATCTGCCAGCGCCAAAGGTGTTTGCGACTCCTCCGCAGCAGTAATCGCCAGTCGAAGGTCCTTATTCATTAGACTCACTCCGAACCCTCCCTCGTAACCACGAGATGCCGGTGCCGTCTCGACGACACCTGGCACGGGGTTATTCACTTCCATGGGCCAGCACCGGCCAGTCGACGAATTGACAAGCTCTGCCAAAGCCTTGGGGTCCAACCCCCAGCGCATGCCAAGGTTCATTGCTTCTGCGGTCGCAATGTTGTTGATCGCCAGGATGTAATTGTTCGCCAATTTGCCTGAAACGCCGGCCCCTGGGGCGCCCATGTGCCAGGCCTTCTTTCCCATCATGAGTAGCACGGATCGCACACGGTCAAGCAACTGACCAGTCTGCGAAGTGGCACCGAACATGAAGCTCAATGTGCCAGCACGCGCACCTACGACACCACCCGATACAGGGGCATCGACGAAGCGCCCTTGGGATGTGGTTTGTATGGCGTTTGCGATTTCCTTTGATGACGCAGGATCGATTGTTGATGTATCGATGAACAGACGCTCTTCTTCTAGCGTGGGAAGTTCACCTTCTCGCAAAATAGAGTGATACACATCCTTGACATGCTGCGGCCCTGGAAGGCTGGTGATGATCACGGACTGGACAGTTCATCAGCAAAAAAACCCAATTAAATGCGGGGTTCTCGTGAATGGATATAGCACCCCAAGTAAGTAGCCTTAAAGTAGTGAATAATGCCCGATCACAAAGCCACGTAGGGCTCGCATCGAGCGGTGACAAAACCCAAATCGGAACGATCAACTTACCGACTTTTCCGCAAGTTCCCTCGCCGTCTGAGCCACCAGAACCTCCGAAGCGCCGTTAGTAGCGCCGCTGCTCCTAGCGATTTCTTCTGCTTCCTTCACGAATCTAGACATGTTCTCTTCATTCACGTCTCGAATAATCAAGGTATCCGTCTCGGGAATCTTAGCGCGCAGGTTCTTAGCCATGTTGTAGCCTGTGGTGGACAAAGTAATTGTCAATGTTAATTGAACAATGCCATTGAGAAATGTTGAAGGCTTCCCCGACCTGCCTATACCTACCCATTTGGCCCAGCCCTATGAAACCCCATGTAGCATCCCGTTGCGCAGAAGTCGAAAACGTGCGACCAGACAGAGTGTAGTGTTGCGTGAGACGGCATGTCGAGGGAGATGCTCTGAACAAGGCACCCCTTCCACTGCGAAGGGGCAGAGCACGCGCGAGACTCATTTCAAAAGAGGTGTTACACGATAATGGGAGAGGCTACTCAAGGTATAACAGAAAGAGTAGTGCTAGGAAGAGATAGCATTGGTAGAAGAATGAAGCGTAGTAATCTGGGGGAGCGAGCAGCTGTAAGTTGGAGAACAGCCGAGCACCCCTCGGCCAAGTGGAGTGCTGAAAAGGTGGAACTCCGCTGCTTTCCGAGGCTTTCCATTCTTCAAGTACCTCGAGCCAGGGGCATCATTGGGGAATGACGAATAGAGTTGAGAGTCGACGATCTTCCCTTTCCTGCCTTCAATGCGGGGAAGCCCCAATGCGGTATGGCGTCGGGGAGCGTCACGGGATGGGCCCGCCGCTGGGACCGTGAGGCATCCACTCTCTCCACTGGACATGGCCTGAATTCTACATACTTGCTACATGTCACCATGTTCTCGTCTATATATCTTCTGATTCAATAAATTAATCTATAGATGTCTGTACTACATACGGCCAAGGAAATGATGAAACGAGGGCAGGCGAACAGACGTCAAGGAAGAGTAAACGAAGGAAACATCGACGAATGGGTATGTTGAACGCCAAATCACACCAAGCACCGGCTTACAATATCAAAGCAAAAGAAGGTCGCACGAGGAATAGAGTGATGGTCAGTTCGATCACTGTTGTGCCGGGGAAGATGGGTTGCTCGTGGGCCCCGTCAGATACTCGGCAGGCACCTTGGGCACGCGCGGTGAGCTGGCCGTCTGAGCCATTGCTCGCTGTTGGGCTCGAACCAGATCACGCTGTCTCTCCTTTTCCCGATTCGTAGCTGCCCCGCCGGTGAGTCGTCGCATACCGCTGCGGATCATGGATTCAAGGGATGAGGCCCCGTCCGTGGCACTGCGCGTCTGACTGATAGGATGCGGCATGGCTTGTTTGTGATCAGTCAAGCCGTCCTCTATCTCGTCATCGGATAGGAATGCCGACTCAAATCCGATCAAGGGCGTGTTATGGTGTGCACTAGAACTCTGAGGCGTGAACAAATGATTGACTGGAGACGTGACGGAGCGCGTGTGGGAAACGGGCCGTGCAGTTTGGCTCTGAGGCTGAGGCGTGAATGTCCCAGGAGATGGTGTTCCCATGCTGTCAAAGCGCAGATTGGACGGACGGGACTCAGCAAGTCCATTATGGAAAGAGGACGTTGAGGCGGTTCGGGCAAGAGACTTGCGGAGGATTGGCGCAGTTTGCTGATCGTACAGATTGGCGTTGGTATCGGCAAATGTACCAGTAAAGCCCCGTAGGGTTGGATCGGAAATAGGGTCCAGTGTTGCGTGCACCGGGTCCGTCTCCTCGAAGAAATCGTCTAGACTGTCTAGCTTCTGAACGATGTCCCCCATGTTGCCGTCCGTTTGCGTATCGATAGATTTCATCGTGTCCGCCCGCATGGGGAAGAACGTGTCATTATACTCGTCGGCGTGGAATTCCACCTCAGAGGGTGCTGTCTCCTGCACTTCCATACGGTCAACCTCCGCGCAAGTGTAGAACACTGCATGGACATTGTGTCGGGTGATGCTTGATTGCGTCGCGGGCATGGGTATCGACCATCCGGTGGGCTCCGGTATACCATACAAGCTCTGCACGCGCTCGTACTCCTTCCGGATAGCCCGAGAAGACGACGAGGAAGCCATGCTCATCCGGATGTGATGCTTCTCCATTGGATTGGCCGAGACGGTCATGATGTGGTCCATGACCTGCAAAGCTTGGGGACAGAGATCCGTTTGTAGCAGTCGCAAGAGAGGAGAGATCAGATCAGGCCCATGACACGTCACTTCACCCCGACGCATGTCCATGTCAGGTAACAGCACGCATAGTATTTTCATGACCTTGACGCGGAACCAGTTTGTGGTATTCGTCAGCAGCCCCATGAGGAAAATAAGACTTTGAACATCCTGGCGAGGGAAGTAATAGGAACGAATCTCCGTAATGATATGGTTCAGGAAATCGTTCTCCGCCTTGTATTGGCCGTTCGCAAACCCGAGCAATGAAGCTGCTAGTCGGGGGCATCTTTCACTTTCAGCGACCCTTGCCAGCAGTGTCGCGCGCGCCAATGTCTTGGGATCGTCAACATCGGAGTCAAATTGACGCAAAAAGTGAGACAGGTTCGCTAATATGGCAAATAGTAACCTGTTACCATCACCAATGAGCTCGTTGTTTGGAAGAGCACTTAGTCGGTGCAGGATGTCCAGTGTTCGATTCAACGATTCAGATGACTTGAGACCCTTGTAGATCAAATCCTGGAGACCATCAAAGCCACCTTCCCACTTTGGCGGCTGGCCTTTGATGAGCTCTGAAACTACCATTGGGTCACTCATGTCGACACGGTCCAGGAACTTCTCAAGCATGCCGACGCTTTCAATAAACTCCGTTTCGTGTATGGTATTCAAGCACGCACATGTAGTCCAGAACAGCTGAGGATACCGCAACAGGTCAGTAGGGGCCAGAGAGCTGATAATGATCTTAAGCGTCGTGAGGATTTCCATGGAGAAAGTTCGATAGTCCGACTCTTCATCTGCAATAGTGTTCGACAGACGAGCCAACATATCAGCCAGCATCCGGGAGTCGAGAGACATGGATATGCAACGAAACACTTGGAACGACCGACAGGCGAGATGTCGCACTGGGCATGACGTCGCCCAGTTCAACGCCTCTTTCGCCCATAGGTCGTTCAGCCCTTCATAACCAAGGCTGAAGAAACCGACTACTTGGCGAGTGACAGAGGCCATTGATGGCGGAACACGGCTGCCGTCCTCTTCATCTTCTTTGTCACTGGCGTCTTCGTATTCCCACACAACCTTCGGGTCGCTCTTACGGATTGATTCCACAAAGTCTTCAATGGACTGCCGTGTTTCGATAGGCGCGTCATCCTCGACCTTTGCAGCGATCAACTCGTGTATCAGATGAACCAGCATTTCCCTGGCCTGCTCTTGCACAGTGAGCGTGTAATGGTCCCAGAGTATAAGAACAACATGAAGTAATTTAACCAAATCGTCCATGGTCAGTGTAACTGGCGCAACCATCAAGTCAACGAGAAAAATCAGCGCGACTTGGCCCAGGGAAAGGCCAGCTTGCTTGTTCCCAACAGGAAGTACTGTTCCGAGGTCTGTGACATAAGGTAGGCTTCTGATATCAGGTGGCGCTGGCGTGATATCTTTCCTTTCTTGTACCATGTGCTTAGGCACGACCTGCAACAAGAAAAACTCAATAACC